CCTCCAGCAGCACCCCCGGCCCCACCCCCAGAAGCACCACCGGCTCCGCCTCCAGCAGCACCCCCAGCTCCGCCCCCAGCATAACAACCCTGCCCTGCAGTCCTCATGTACATTTCTGTCCATCAATAAAAGAGTTTAGTTTTTTTGCCCTCATTCATCGATGTGGTCAGGGTGTCCAGGTGCAGGATCCATAGAATCGTCCATCCTTTTTCAGACTACGGAGGGGTCCTCATTCCCAGCCACCCCTGTGGGCTTCCTGTCCTCCTTAGTCCCACCTCATGCTCTTTCTTCTGCCTTCAAAAGCCTGATGGCCAGAAGAAATTCAACCGATGCAACTTTTCAGGCACGGTATCCAATGCAAGCTCCAGGAGGCCACGGCGTCTGCTGTTCCCCCTCAGCATCATGTTCTCTAGACCAGGGAGGGAGATGAGCTGGCCGGCTGCAATCGGGGGGCAGAAGAAGAAACATAGAAACTGAGCGAGTCAGAAGGGGCCTCCCGGGCCATCTAGTCTGACCCCCGGCTCTAGCCGGCTCCACTCATAACATGCCTACTATGTGCATGTCCAATATGAAGAGAGAGAGCCCAGAGGCATCTTGCCAGTGGGGCCTGCTAGAATATGCCCCCTTGGCCGGTGCTGAGCCAGGATTGTTTTCCGATGCCGGCCCTGCCGGCATGTCCATTGGGAAATTCCTGGGAAAATGCTCAGAAGCTTGAAGCGACTGAGTGGGGAAGGGGCGACCAACCCAGCTTGGAGCAAAAACAGAGGAGCAGAGTCTTTGGTTGTGAAAAACTTACAAATTTTTACAACGTAAGTAAAGCTAAATCCACACAGACGATACTAGAGGAACACGAGCAACAGCTTCAGGGTAGGCAGCTGAAGGGAACAGTCTTAACATCATTTTCCTGGGATGTGGTGGGTTCAAGGTCAGGTCGAGTTGCAGGTGAAGACCATCACCCATCCATCCATCCTGCAGGTGGAGCAGAATGGACCCAATTAGATCTCATGCTCATTATGAATAGACACTTTCAAGAGAGGGGGAGCGAGGCTGGGGCAAGAGAGAAAGCTGTCACCCACAAAATACCCCACACCTCCTGTTTAGAGCCGGATAGGAGAAAGAGGAAAGGTCTTTTTAAGGGCATAAATGAAGATCCCGGAGTGAGCTGGTGACCTTGCCCTGTAGAAAGGAAGGGGCAGCGCTCCTTACAGGAGGCCTGGGGTGATTAGCACAAGGAAACCACAGTGTGTGTGCAAAGGAAATCGGATGATAGGTTTAGAAATTGTTCTTCACCAAAGCCATGATGGGTGGGAGGGCCTGGCTTCACAAGGGTCGGAATATTGGATTTTGATTGGATTAGTCTGATTTTTGCTACACACAAACACACGCATGCAGCTCTCCAAGAGCTGGGCCCACAGTGCCATCCCTCCCCGAGAAAAGCCCTGCCTGCAGGCGTTCCAGGGCAAGGGGCCTGCTCCTGCTATGCTCCCGTCCATCCCCAGAGCCAGATCTGGGAACTCCATTCTCCTGAGTGTGGGTTGCCCCACAGCAGCCAGAGGAAGCCAGTGTTTAGCTCCATACCTTGCCCTTCTAATCTTTCCTGGCTTCAGACTGAACGGACTGCAAAGTGACATATTTAGAGAACTCTGCTGCTAGCAGCTGAAGGGGTTACTGCATGCTTCAGTTCCATGGACACATTATTATTAATTAAAATTCAATCAATTTTACAAATTATTGTAAGATGCATGTTCCTAGGGTAACTATTATTATTACTGTTACATTATGCTTCTATTTATTCATTTATTTATTTATTAAAACATTTATATGCCGCCCCATTCGCCGAAGCCTCGGGGCGGCTTACATCATAATAAAAATTACAATAATAATATAAAAGACAATACAATATAAAATATAAAATAACAATATAAAATAAATAACAATATAAAAGACAATATATATAACAATATATAACAATACTCACCTTTCTCTTTCAAGGAATCCAAGGTGGTTTACAGAATTGTTCTATTTTATCCTCACAACGGCTACCCTGTGAGTTAGGCTGGGCAGAGAGTCTGTGACTGCCCAAAGTTACCCAGTCAGCTTCATGGCTGAGTGGGGACTAGAATCCAGATCTCTCAAGCACCTGTCCAACACTCCCACCACTACACCACACTGCCCATTGGCATGTGTGCCAAGTTTCAGATGTCTCAGTTTCACAGTTTTGGTCCCTTGGAATTGACTGATGGATGGCCAGACACATCCTCTTTTATTATTACAAGATATGTAATAAACAAGGATGAAAAAGGGGGTAGGTGGGTGGGTGATCTTTTATGATATGAAATAAACATGTCTCGACTCAGGTAATGTGAGCGTATCACAACCCACTCACCTGCACCCAAACCAACGAGCATCACAAGCAGGCAAAAGCATCAGCCAGCTCTTCTCTGCTAAGCTGCTGTTTCTTGCTCTGTGTTTGACATGACGGAGTACACAAGGGCAGGGCTGCCCAGGCTGTGGAAGCTGTGAGAACTGGGAAGGCCAGGCAGGGCGGGCCCCTCGTTTCAGCCAGTACAAACACAACACCGTCTGTCTCCAGTTTCGAGAGCTGTGCCATTAAAAATTTAATGAAGAGGCTGAAAGAGGAAGTGGAGTGAGAAGGGAAGTAAAAGGTTGAGTTGAGAGCAGGGCCATAACCCTCCAAGCAGGAAAGCTGGCCATGATGTGATGAGGCAGGTTAGTCCTCCCCAACTTGGTGCCCTAGATGAGTTGGACTGCAAGTACCATCATTCCCAGATGACATGGCCATGCTGGTTGGAATAATGGAAGCTGCAGTGCAGTCCTTCTACAGGTTTGGGGACTGCAGCACTTGGCATTGGCCTCTCCCATAATGTCAAATTAAACTTTGCATTCATCAGGTCTAGAAACTTGTTTTTTTTTCCCAAAAAGAAAACCCTGGCTGGTTAGGGGATTTGGGAATTGTAATCCTACACAACTGGAGGGCACTAGGTTGGGGAAGGCTGAGACAGACTGATGAGGGGAGCTTTTTCTACATTCTCAGAAAAGCGTGATAAGTTGATGTCTGCAGTTCATCCAGCCAAGTGCACTGTTTCCAAGCAGGGCTGCCATGTTTATTTTACACAACCCAGTCATTTCTTCGAGGGCACCCCACCTTTGAAGGGTTGTCCAGCCAAGTCCAGGTTAAAGATTAAGAACCCGAAGAAGGAGGGGGTACCTGGAGAACAGACGGGGAAGACATGCCCCTCACCCACTCACAGTCTCCCCTCGCTAGGGGAGCAGCATTGTTGGTCTGTCTGATTTCTAAATAGCCAGTGTGGTGTAATGGTTAAAATATTGGGCTGGGATGCACAAGATCTAGTCCCCACTTGGCCATCGAGCTTGTCGGGGACTTTGATCAAGTTACTCACTCTCAGCTTAACCTACCTCACAGGGTTGTTGAGAGTACAAAATGGTAAAGGGGAGGATTCTGTCAAAGCTACCTTTGACTCCTTGAAGGAAAGTTTATTTACAGAAAGTAAATATATAAATGTGCATATATAGTCACAAATTAGCATCTGCATCTGTTAATGCAAATTTGTGAGCCCTCTTCTCCTTTTGGTGAGGAATTTCCTCGTTTTTGGTGATCAGTTCCCAAGCGGCAGGGCAGATGTTTAGAAGTTCAAAACTGAAGACTTTAGTCTTCCCCCATTCATTGTCTCTACCAGCTAGTATTCCACTGCCTTTGAACATGGAGGTTCCATTTAGCAAACCTGGCTAATAGTTCCACTCTCTGTTAATTTGTCTAATCCTTTTCTGAAGCTGTCATCACATCTCTGACAGTGAATTCCAGAACCCAATGCTGCAATTTATTGTCTTCCTATTAATTTTTTAGGTAGTTTTGCCTGCATGCATGGCTGTGTTTTTAGTGCCAGCCAGACATATTGAAAATCAACAGGTGGAACTCTTTTTTCCTGGCATGCTGATAAAATAACTGGCAGGAGCTTCTCACACTGAATCCCTGGGGCAGCTGCCTTGGTTCAGTGGCCCAGGAAGAAAATGCCCTGTTCACTCCCTGGCATCTCTATGTAGGGCAGGAAAAATTGCTGGAGGGTCACTGCTAGCCAGCATCAATAGGTGGACTTCCTGGGTTCTTATGTCTGCACAGTGCACTGTCAAAGTCACAGAAGCAGACCTAGTAAAATATATTTAGAGAGACATGCTGTACATTTTCCAAAAGCAGATGTTTTTACCTGAAGGAAGACCAGCCCCTCGTTGGCCTGTGCCACTATGAGGCCCAGCTAGGCCAGAAGGCAGATGCCATTCAGTGCATGCCTGGCCAACCTTCCCTTAAGAGAAGCCTTAAATGCGCCTTTTGCACTGTTCTATTCAAGCAGTTCAAAGGCTCACATGATGTGAATTTGTGGGTTGTTTAATACTGGCCAAAACTCTCACAGCAAAGACACTGAAGCATGACTTCAGAAGCCCTCAGAGTTTCAGTCTTACTTCTGCCATAAATGTACTCTCAGTTTCAGCCTCTGCCCATTCCCTGCATGTTGCAAAATGAATCTATTTGCTTTAAAGGGAGACTGTCAGGATGAGGGCAAAGGAGGGGTACACTGCACTCTCCCGAGAATGGGGAGCCTTCATCTGGCTGCAGACCTTGGCACTCTATTTCTGCAGCACCCAACAATTCCCTGAAGGGGGCAGCAGCGGCAGTTGCAGAGCTGTGGGGACCTCAGTCCCTCCTCCTCCTCCTCCTCCTCCTCCTCCTCTTCCTCTTCCTCTTGGGTGCCACTCCTGCTGTCTGGGGGTTCCCCGTGGGGTGGGGGTTTCCTGAACCAGTCCACTGGCCTGCCCAGCACAATGGAGATCTGTGCTGGGTGTTCTCCAGCAAAGGCTGCTGCAGAAGAGCACCTGGGACATGGGTTCCAAGCACTGCTCACCTGGTGCCTAACCCTGAGAACCCCCCAAGGCGAGGCCTGGGACGGAAAGGCTCTCCGGGGGACCCTGCAGGCTGCCTTCCTGCTGCAAAGCGCTTGACCTCACAGTGAGGGGCTCTTTGTACATACTGAGGCAACCTGGGTAAAGTGGCCTTAAGTGACACGTGTAAAGGGTTATCACTGAAACAGTAAAGAAATAGCCCCATTTTTATTTCCAGAGGCCCCAGAATGGCTTCAATTGACAGTGTTCTAGAGGCCAGGCAAACACAACACCACACAGATAGGAAGCGTCACATGGGGCCCAGAAGCAGGTTATTTCTTGGCCTGCACCTTCTTTTGCACATCTTGGGCTCCGTCCTGTCACATGCCTTGTGAGTATGATGGGAACAGGGCTCCTGCCATCACTGTTTGGGGTTGTTCCTTTATTATTCCTACCACTGCTGATGATTTGGCTTTGCACGGGCTGGAACAGGCATGATGCCTTCCAGTAAACTTACACAGCTGCCCTTGTATACATTGTGCCCACCTCGTCTGAGCAGAGCCCTGCCCAGCGACACCCCAGACGCAGGTCAAGACATGGTGCAGCCCTATAGCTGCCCAAGTGAGGTTCCTGCCCACTCCATGCCCATGAAGGAGTGTTTGCCCCATAGAAAGGGGCAGTGGGAAGAGGCAGGCATACAAACACGTCCTCAGCCTCCTAATCTCCCCAATTTCAAACTGTATAGATCGCAAAGCTATGTCTTTGTTAGGAAAGTCCGCCCCTAGTGGCTGAAGCTATTGCTGCAATGTCACATTTGTTAAACTTTTTTCCCCACATTTAATTAGCTAATGCATTTTAAGAACAAAATATCCTTAATAAGCCACCCCTAGGGTCTCCATGTGCAATACTTTGCAGAGGACTGTTATCTACTGGAAGGAATCCCTTATTTGAAGGACTGGTCAAGTCCAAGTCCAGTTTAAAGATAAAGAGCCAGAAGAAGCAGGGAGATGAGAGCCAAGAAATTGTATTTTTATTAAAAGTATGGTTCTCACTTCTAACTTTGTTCCTGTTCATATAAAATTAAGATATCCACATTTTGTGTAAATATATGTCCTGTCCTGTCCTGTTTTGCCTGCCTTCTTTCCTTTCCTTCTTTCTTATGATACACTTCCTCATTTGTGGTGATACATAACCACACAAAAAGCATACACAGCCATTCTGGTTTTAAAGACAAAAGTGAACAGGTGCAGCTTTTGGCACAAGGCACAGTGATGGGAAAGCTTTCCTGACTGAGTTTTTGCTTCCTTTGTGGCTGTTCAGTGAAAAGTAACCTTGCCACAAAACCGAGACAGAAACTTAAGTAAGGTTCTTAAATAGCATTATAGACCCACAGTGCTTCAGGGCTGGACAGAAGCCTGAAATATTTACATTGGCCATCCATTATATGCTTATAATCTACTACTTTAAAGTATTATGAATATTCCCACCCAACATTCCCTTCCCTTTCACTGGCAGAGATCTTTCCTAACCTCATTAAGCAAAACTCTTTAACTGGCAGGAATGGGGATTAGACCTGAGTTCTTCTTCATGCAAAGCACATGCTCTAGCGCCCAGGCCAGACAGAAAAGGTCTGGGAAGTCCAGGGCTTTCCATTAGGGCAGGAGATGAGGAAGCTGTGGTAGTATGAAACGGCAGGATGGAAATAATGTGGAACGCTCTAGTATGGGCCGGATGACAAGGAACAGGGGAAGTTGTCTTATGTTGAGTCACAATCTTGGTCCATCAAGCTCAGCACCACCTTCTCCAGGGTTTCCCGTGGCTGTTCTTTCCCAGCGCTGCTGCCAATCAAACGTGGGACCTTCTTAAACCCAAAGCATGCGCTTTACCGCTTAGTGGCAGCCCTTCTGTGCAAGAAAGGAAATCCAGGCACCGAAAGCATATTCCACAAGGGCAAGAAAATTGCCTACTACTGGGGGGGGGGGGGGCGGCATTCACCCTACTACCGGGATTGCATTCTTGTGCCAGCATAACTAATACAGCTTTCCTCAACCCTACGCCCCTCAGTGGCGCTGAATTATGGCTCCCTCTGCCTCCCGCGGCTGGCTGGTGATGATGGAAGTCGTAGTTGTAGTCCAGCACCTCTGCAAGGCACCAGGCTGGGGAAACCGGAACTACTGAAGCGGGGTCTGCTCTCACAATCACTAGCGCAACTGGAATTCCCCAAAGTGTGCGTCGGAAAAAAATGGGAAAGATCCACTTCTTGATTGTCGATTGCAAGTATAGCAGGGGCAATACGAAAGGGGCAACTAATCCACTTTAAAGCATACACCCCAATATGTTAAAGAAACAGGAGGCTGGGACAGTCCACCAGAACTGTCCCGAGGGCCTTTACGGTTACTAAGTGACCAGCAATAACCCCAAAGCAGGCTGCTCTAAATGCATTTTAAACGGCAAGTCAATGCGCAGAAATCAGCAGAGCATGCCTTTGCAGCCCGAACCACGGCCGGCTGCTAATGGCTTTAGAGTTTAAAAAATTAGCAACTCTCAGATCCGGAGGATGGGCAATGCGGGGCGGGGGACTGCTGCATTACCTCTATGCCGCTTCCCGGCTGCTCGACACCGTCCGCATGGCTAGCCCGCCACCTTGGCGTCGAGACCAAGTCCGTGTGATCTTCCTGGCGAGCCGGGCCAGCGTACCTCCCTTGGCGCCATAATCCCTCGCCAGTTCCTCGGGGGCGATCTCAATGTTGCCCGTGTACCACATGATCCAGCCCAGCAGGCTCAGGAACACCAGCACGGCCCCGGAGTAGATCAACAGGTCCCCTAAGTCCCGGCCCCGCAGCCGCAGCCTGGCGAAGATGCCCGTCAGCAGCGCCCCGGTGCCCGCCGCGTCCATGAGCAGCGCGAAGGCCAACGCCAGCCGGCAGCGGCCCAGGCCGGGGGCGCCCATGGGGCTGCGGTGCGTCGGCGACAGGGAGCGCTCTGCTCCGAGGGGCGGCACCGTGAGCGCAAGCCGGGACCGTCTCGGGCGGTCGAAGGGACCGGCGAAGAAGGGGCGATCTCAGCGGGCACCACGGTCTGCACCGCCAAGCAAACCCCAATCCAGCTAACTTGCGAAGCAGGGGGAAAGGGCAACCGGGAAGAAGGACGGCTCCCCAGGGCCAGGACAAAAGAAGGAGCGGCCGGCAGATGAGAGATCCACAAAAGCTGTCCAACCAGTTTCAGAAGGGGAGGGACCAACATCAGGTATCGGTGGAATTAACTCCGCCGTACCCTTTGAACCCTTCTGGCGCCCAAGTCCCCATTTAACCTTTACTGAACCCCATTCAGGGGACCCCAGGATTTCCAGTCACTAAGCTGCCCCGAATCCTCACCTGCAGATTAACTGGGATTCCTGGACTGGATTCCCCCCTCCCCTCCCTCTTGCACACTCAGCATAACTCCCCCTGCCCTTACAGAATCCCGAAAGCTTCTGGGTGGGTGGGCCTCCTTTTCTAGCCTACTAGAGACATCAGCCTTGCCCACCACCAGATATTCCCTTGCAGAGAACCCAGGAGGCTTTCCTTGCCCCCTTACTCCCCCTCCCTTCATAGTCTAAGGAGCTGGTCATAAAACAAACCTCACCGTTAAGAACTTTGGCACATGAACATGCACAGAGATGTGTACATGTTGTCCGATCATGGTGGCGTAATAAGAAGCTTCCTGCTGCCCTGCATGTTGGCAGCCAACCAGAGCAAGAACAACACTTGGAAGGGGTGTGGGATTGGCAGCTGTAACGACTGGCATTTGCAGAAGTTGCTGTGCAGGAATTCAGGATGAATGTGTGAATGTGCTTTAAAAGTTTGCTTTGCTAGGCTGCACTCCTAAACACACATGAACCCTATGGGAATTACTTCTGAGCAACCAACTTTAGGCTCATACTGCATACTATGATGAATAATACAATATTTCCTCCCCTCTCCCCTGCCCAAAGTGTGTATTTCAAATTTCCTCTCATGGATGTAGAACTCTTCTGTTGGCTGCACCTACTAGCAGTGGCCCTGATCTGTATGCCCTGCTAGGTAGCTGGAAAACAGTCTTTAACTTTTGTAAGGTCATGATGGTGAAAAGGAACATGAGCCCTCCGCAGTCCTGGGCATGGCACTGAATAATTTGGCCACAGTGCCTGAACAGATTCATCACAACAGGTTGCTTGATTCTAAGTGTGTTTTCTTAGAAGTATATCCAAGTTCACTAGATTAACCACCCCTAAAGTAACTTACAGCCCTAGTGTAAGTAAGATATCCCTTAATGCCTTCTTCAACTGGGTGCCCTTCAGATGCACTGGAAGTACAACTCCCACCTCTCTACTCAACAAGGCTGAGGACGATGAGAGCTGCAGTTCAAGACATCTAGAATTAACCATCCTGGATGCAAAAATGACCAGGGAAATGGGAGGGAAGAGAACCTCCATTTCTGTCCTTTGATCTGAGTTTGAGGCCATGTCCCATAAATGCTCCCCATGTATTGCATCCAAACCACTGGTGGACAACTTGTGGCCCTCCAGATGTTTTGGCTGATAATTCCCATGAACCCTCACCATTGTCTACAATGGCGAGGGCTGATGGGAAATGTAGGTCAAAACTTCTGGAGGGCTACAAGTTGCCCATCCTTGCAAAGATGGCCAAATTTAGCCTCTGAACATGTGCTGACATCCACCCCTTGCTTCTCTCTGCAATTATTCAAAATGGAGCTACAGTGGGCTTAAGCTACACGGTCAAGCCACAGAAGTCCAGTTCATGCTATACTTGCGTGACAAGACAGCTGAGGTAGTGTCTGAGCATCATATTCACACGACAGCAATGGAACATTTGCAGACCCCCTGCATCAGTGATGCGGCAGATCCCCAGGCAGGTGTGTCACTACTGTGGGGGCCCCTCGTAGGAGCTGCCTGCTTCGTCATCTCAGCATTAGCAGAGCTGCATGACTAGGGGACACCCGTGGTGAGATGGCAGCAATAAATTTCCCGTAACGTGTGAAACAGATATTTGTATCCTCTGATCTCACAGTTAAATGTCCCAACTTACCCATCTCCAAATGGCTGTGATTTCCATGGAATATAATTTTGATACTTTCAGTACAACTCCGGAGGGAAATTGCAGTTGCCAGAAAAAGTCAAACATATTCTAACACATATTACTCTAATCTCTGCAGTTTTTTGAAGTAGGAAGTGCTTTGAATGAGACATCTGGAGGAAGCAAAATTATTTGCATTTTAAAAAAGTGTTCTTCACTTATTCTTCTAGCTGGAATGAGCATGTTTTCCATTAAGACTAAAGAAAGTCTCTATCTAACTCTATCTAACTTGCACACTTCTTTCGGAGACAAAACTTAAGTCAAATGAAGGAATGAGTTCTTTAAAACAATGTACACCAGAGTGGCTTGTGGACCTGACTGGACCAGGCCTGGACATTTGGAATGGAGTTCAAGTCCCACCTCAGACATGATTCACCTGGTCAGCCTTCCCCAACTTGGTGCCCTCCAGATATGTTCAAATGTAACTCCTGCCATTCCCAGACATCATGGGAGTTGTAGTTCGACCCATTCTCACCAGCCTGCAATCTCCTCTTCTTGATTGTTGGGCCTTCTGGATACTGCATTTCCTCCCCTATGTTTCCATTTTTCTTTTCTACGGGTATAAATCCTACATGTGTTTAAGATCTCATTCTACTACCAGCAGTTTTTTTCTTCCTATAACTAGGAATTGCAATATTGTCTTGTACTTTATTATTTTTTTTCTGTTCAGAGAGTCCTGACAAATTATTCAGTGGCATATAAATTAAAAAAATTAAAAAATAAGACCTCTTACCTTTCTGGGGAATGCTGGGAGTTGGTAGGGCTTTTTACTATCTAAATATACATAGAATTGTACCCCAAACAACTGAACAATGTTTTTTAGCTGTGGTGCCTGTTTAGTCCGTTCATTGACTTGTCTCTTCTCCATTACTTGTTGTTATTGTATTCATATTCCTCTTTCATGATAATGGGAAATTCAGAATACATAAAAGGAAGCATTTTTTCATAAAGCACATTGTTAAGCTATGGAATTTGCTACCAGAAGATGTGACAAAAACCATCAACTTAGACTGTCTGGATCAGATACATTTATGAAGGGTCAGGCTATCCATGACTATTTCATCCTTCCATTGCCTGATGGGTTTGCAGAGGTTGTTTTATATTTTCTAATTTTTACTAATACAAGGTATGGAGATTTTGAAGTCCAGATAAATTTCCTTTGGCTTATGGCTATGTGGATAATTTCTGGTTTAAAGGGTCCCCCCCCCCCCCATTTTCTCAACTGGTGAAAAGTGAGGTAAGTTTGGTACCTTAATGATGGGAGCAGTATTTGTAATTGCAACATGTGGCATTTTTAAATCTAGTTAGTGAACAATACAGCTTGGCTTGGATCACACATGAGAACAATGCAGGATGTGGGTTTGAGTATGGGTTGTTGTTGAATTGTTACGTATGAACACTGCATTACAGTTTAACTAGAAGTTTTAGCTACAAAGAACCCAGGGAGAGCACACATGGTCTGTTACTTGGTTGTGAACTCTCAGTTGTTTGTGGTTAACAACCCATAGTTAAACCATAGTACAGAGTTTGCACATGACAATGGATTCTGTGACAACTGATGATTCTGTGACAAGCAATGATTTAACCTGAACTCAACTCATAATCTGGATTGTTGTTATGCAGCCACTAGGTCTTTATGTGCTGTGTATATTTCATGTACTTAGTAAGAAAATCTTGGCAGTAATAAGAAAATTAGCAAAACACATTTTATGGGTTTAAAAAGAAAATCTATTTATTTCCAGGGATTTTTTTTTACCATGGCTTCAAAATGTACAGACTTTTTTCCTAGTCTCATAACAAAAAATAAAATGCAAAAAAGTGGGCAATAAAAGCAACACAAAACTTTACAGAGTGACGTCATTAGCAATATTAGCTCTGTGGTAAAGCACATTATTTTCTTTCCACCATGTTTCATTTTCAATCAGTTTTTATATTTTTAATGAGATTTTTCAAACAGCTAACCCTTTACAAAACTGGAGCAGAGCACGAGTGAAGAACCTATGAACCTCCAGATGTTATGCTCTGGAATCAGTGCAGCAACAAGTAGATTTTGAAGACAGAAAAAGCCATGCTGGTCCACAACTTTAAACTTTTACAGCAACAAGTGGCTCTGAAAGAAAAGTTCATTATAAACAGGGTGGGAAACATGACTAAGGGGTCCAACAAGACGACCCCAAGCAGGCATGACATACGCATTTATTGCTGCCCACAGTCATATGACGCAGGATCATGTGATCGCAGAAAGTTAATACTACCTCTCTCTCTCCCCTCTAGCCGGCCCTTTGCAGGAACTCTCCTACCGCCATGCGCCATTGGCCACCGGGGCACATCGCGGCGCGCCATTGGCCACTTGGCACTTTCTTCGTGTGTCATTGGTCGACGTGTGGGCTTCTGGCTCCGCCTTTCTTTCCTCTTGGAAAGTGACATGAAGTTAGGATCGCAGCTACCGTCGCTTAAGGGGCTCTGAACTTTGGGGAGGGGGGAGACGAGGGAGGGAGGCAGGAGTGGATCCCGAAATTGGAGGATCTTCCCCTCCCGGGCCAGGAGCGGGGTGGAGATTGAGCTAGGATCCCCGGGTTCCCAGAGTGTTCAGTGGTTGGAGCACGGAGCCGGGAAGACAGTTCTGGGGAAGGGAACCGTCTCTATGGGACGGGGGGAAGGAGGAGTGAGGCCTAGTGATTAAAGCAAGGGGCTGCGTTGGAGTGACTGCGCCTGGAGCAAGGAAGGGAGTGAAGTTCTGTGGTTGGAGCAGGGAAGAGAGGGCAAACGAGGCTGGACACAGATATCCGGGGTTCTCTGGAGTGTGTTCTGGGACTGGAGGAATCAGGGATCCTGCCTCGCTCAAGGGGATGAACAGAAGAAGGTAGGGCAGTTTCCGATTCTTGGGAGCACAAGAGCCCATGCCCCTGAAGCCAAGTTCTGGTGGGTTAGAGCGGGAGGGTTAAAGAGTCAGGGAAGCTGGAGGCCTGAGACTACAGTGGTTAGAGCAATTCGCAATGGACGATCTTGAGGAGACATTTGGAGGTTATGGGGATCCAAATCCAGCCCCTTATGAGGAACTGGTATCTGTAATGGCTGGCAGTTTGTATAGTGAGCTGGAGAAGCTGGTAGGGGCCCACGGGCCTGGAACAGTATCGGGGCTCCTGCCACAACTGGTCTCTGTCCTGGAATCTCTGCAAGGGGCTTGTGAGCAGGTTCGAGAGAGGGATCAGGCTCTGGAACGGTTGCGGGATGACCGTCTGCGGTTGCTGGAGCAGTATGAACGGGAGCGAGCTGGGCGCAAGCGGGCTGAAGAGGTAGGTATCACCTTAGTTCAATCTGTATTGCCACCTCTGCAATTTTTCAGTATTGATTTAGACTCAGCCAAGTGCTGGATGGAGCTGGAGTGGCATAGCAGTTACTGCTGTTGAATTAGAACTGGGGAGACCTGGGTTCAAATCCCCAGTCAACCATCAATTCACTGGGTAACTCCCTAGGTTAGATGCTCAGTCTAACCTACCTCAGAGGGTTGTTGGGAGGATTAAATGGAGAGGAGGAAGATCCTGTATGTTGCCTTTGGCTCCTTGGAGGAAGAAGTGGGATATAAATGTAACACATAAATAAATAGGTGCTGGACAGGATGGAGGAGGGAAGGATTCCTTGGCCAGAGGGTTTACCACACTGGCTTGTAACCTGAATAATCTAGCATGCCAATCGTAAGGTGCTGGCAGGTGATGGGCTCTATTCCCTTCCCTTCTCCTCCTTGACGTTCAGTCTTCTTGTTAATTAAACCTGATGTCTGGCTAGGCCAGGACTTTGTGCTGAGTAGGATTTTTGGTAAGAAGCAGCCCAGATAAGAGGGACTTTCTGTTCTCTCAGTGTCATTATAGTGCACGTTCTTTTCTCAGGCAGATTTAGTCTAGTTCTCCGGGGAGCCAGGAAACATCCTGGCAACAGAGTTAGAATTTAATATTCCCTGCTAATGTTGCAGGCAGGGGCAAACAGCAGTATTTCTGTACAGTCTTGATTCCATGTGTTTAACAAAGTTACCTCGCCAAAGATTCCTGAGCAAAGCGTAATGGTCATGGGTTACAAGGAGATCTCTTCTTACCAATCCATGTCTGGTTAATACACAGAAAGTTGGAAGTAGGAATCAGGTCTTGCAATATGTACTGAAAAGATCCAGGGTTGAGGCCCACAAGACAGGAAAAAAGCACAAATTTGCATATGCTGATTTGCATATGTTCTAAACTCTCTCTGTGTGTGTCTTTCAAGGATTCTGTCTCTTGATGATGCCCATATTTGTCCAAAAGAGAAAGGAGGGCATTTGACTTCAGGCTGAAAGATTCAAGGAGGGGTGGCAGCAGGAGGTGAAGCACACGTGGGCAGAAAGCCAGCTAATAGAGGGGATCAAATGCAAGAGAGCTCATTAGGGACCGGGACCTTTCATTCAGCAAGTACTGGGCTCAGCAGGATGGTGGGGCAGATGGTCTTCTGGGCATTCAGAGCACTACATGAACGATTCAGGGCTCCAGCCTTAGTAATGCTGCCCCTGATTTGTATTGAGACTGAAGATTTTTAATTCGTTCTCAGTGAACTGGACCTAAGGATGAGCCATGAGATGGCCAGGATTGCTGATGACACCAGATTATTGGGGGTAATTAACACAAAAAAGAAACTTCCAAAAAGATTCTCCATTTGGAGGAAAAGAGGATTAGAAATGGAAAATGTGGTCCAGTCCAGTCTAAACAAGTGATCTGCATTGTGGCAAAAAATTGTATGTTTATATACACAGATGGGGTCTGAATGGATAGTGATTAATTGGAAAGGGAATCTTTTGGCCTTGGAGTGCAAACATCAACCCAACATGCAGCAGCTGTGGGAGCTAAAAGATATTCCATTTTTCAAATTATTAGAAAATCCACTGAATGTAAAACTGCCATTATAATAATGCCTTTCTATAAATATGTAACGTGATCACAGTTGGCATAGTGTGTACAGTTCTAGTCATGGGATTCTAGAGCTGGAAAAAGTTCAAGAAAGGGAAACCAAAAAGGTCGGAAAAATTCCTCATGGCCTTTTTTCTAAGTTGCAACCTCTTCTCAGAGGGAACACCCTAAGAAGTGTACAAAATTTTGTGAGAGGAAAGTGGATAAAGAGATGTTTTTCTCCTGCATTAAACTGGAACCCAAAGTCATCTAAGGGTGGGAGATGCAAAGTAGACAGAAGCAAGTACTTTTCATTCAACACACTTTTGACGTGTAGAATCACCGTCACTAGGCATAGCCAAGGCCACTGATTGGGATGTCTTTAAGAGAGACCTAGATGGGTTCATGGAGGGTACACTATCAATTATTTGGATAGGATAGGATCCAAACTATTGTAATCCCAATCACAATCTATGGGTGTGAAAGCTGGACAGGGAGAAAGCTGACTGGAGGAAAATGGATGCGTTCTACACATGGTGCTGGAGGAGAGCTTTGCGAATACCCTGGACCAGCAGAAAGACAAACAAGTGGGTCCTACGAGTAGATCAGATCCAGCCAGAGCTTTCCCTCCAAGCAAATGGGACAAAACTGAGGCTGCCATACTTTGAACACATCATGAGAAGGCAAGACACACTGAGCAGGTCCTGCTGGGGAAGGTCAAAGGTAGAAGATGAAAGGGAAAACCAAATATGAGATGGCTTGAACCCATAATGCAAGCCGCAGCCTTGGAAGGGCTGAATAAAGCTGGACAGGACATTTTGGAGAGCTTTCAGGCGTGAGGAGGAGGCAACTTGTTGGCACATAGCAACGGCAGAGCTATCAATGGCTACTAGTCCTGACGGCAACATACCACTTCTGGTATCAGAGATGGTATGTCTCCCAGTACCCTTTGCTGGGGAACACAAAGGAGGGGCTCCGCTGTGCTCCTGTAGGCTTTCCTTAAAGCATCTGGTTGGCCACTCTGTAAACAGAATGTTGGACAAGATAGGGCGCTGGTCTGATCCACAGGACTATCCCTATGATCTGCTAATGAGAAGTATCCACAAATTGGTGTTGTGCGTCAGGATATTACAGGCATTTGGCACAGATGGACTCCGCTCTGCTTATCTTCATTTACACTTTCATTTCCAAGGGATTGTTTTGTGCTGTACAGAAAGCAAGAAAAAGGGAGTGTTATTTTCTCTTTCTGTACTGCTCAGTATTTTAGATGAATGGCAGTTATGTTGCTTTTTATTTAGGCCTCATTTGGCTAAACCAAAAAGCACTAACCACATCCAGGTCCTTCCTGTCATGGAAAATGATCCTTTCGTTCCTGGACCATTTCATTTATAATGTGACAAGGGTGTGATTGCCTGGCTAAAGTGGACTGGAACCCAGAGTGGGGGCAAGATGGCCTGCAAAGCACAGCCAGAGGGTGGTATGAGCTGGGGACGGCAGTGCTTTTGACAAGCAATGCAGGACTGGGGCAAGAAGCTGCAGATGGAAGGACTGCAGGTGGCAGTGATGCTCGGACTGGGTGCAGCGGGGGAAGAACAGTTGCCTGGACTCTTGGTTCTCTCCCTGCAGCGATTCATGGAGCTGGAGGATACGATGGAGCAGGAGCACAAGGCACACCTGGTGGCGGTTAGCCGGCTGGAAGGGCATAGCCGTGCCTTGGAGGGGAAAGCACGCAGCTACGCGGATCAGGGTGAGCAGCTGGTTCATTGCCTTTGTGCACTCATTTAGCACTTTCAGGCTATGCTCTTTAAGGTGCAATCCTATGCATGTTCAGACAAAAAAGTCTTCTGATTCCCAGTGCAGCCCAGCCTCCTGTGCTGGGAGATGTAGGCTGCTTTTCTGGCTAAGCATGCATAGGTTTACACCCATCCCATGCTTCTTTGCATGTTGCATGGAGGACCTGCAGGGTGATACAGGTTGCTGGCTGGTGTGCAAACTGGCTGCTCAAAGGCCCATTTGCACACCAACACAATCCAGGCTTCTTTGTTTTTTAAACCCTGGTTTGTTGAGACAAAGTGAATGAAGATACTGCAGTGGGAGCAGTGGAACAACCCAGAAGTGTTGTCCCTGGGTTGCTAAGCAAGAGAGTAAGATCCAAGCACTCTGGCTTGTTAGAGAGAGGCAAGGCAGGATTGGAACCAAGGGCTAAACTGAATGTCCTTTGGTTGTTTAACCACTCCGTACTTGCAGCAGGAGCGAACAGTAGTATGTCGAAGCACACATTTACCCCACTTGCAATAGACCATTGAAACAGCAGAGGTTAGACCTTCCTACTATGCTATTTTATGATTCTATTATTGTTTTTACTCTGAGTTGTTATTCCATGTGAACTGGGCCATCATCTGGTGCTGGATGAATACAAGCGGTGAACCCCCTGCTGATCTCTCTCTCCCCATCTCTGGCTTGCTACCCATCCATGCTTGTCCCACTAGCAGACATGCCCAGCCTTGCATCCTCCCTGTTTCCCCAGCACTGGCTGTGCCAGTCCATCTAGTTTCCCGTCTGTCTGGATTGAGGAAAGGGCAAAGGAGCAGCACAGCCTCTTTTGCATACAACTTTTGGTCTCTTTGCAGTCTAAATCTTGTTTCATGTTTGTGCTTGTGTATTGATATTTACAGAGTTCCAGATGGAGATACTCAGTTAGGCCTACTGTATTCAGGAAGAAGACATTTAGAAGGGGATATGGTAGAAGTCTATAGAATGTATGCAAGAGAAAGTAGGTGATAGGGTTTAGTTTTCTTTCATTATTCTTCCTCTCCTGTGACACAAGAATTTGGAGTCCTCCAGCTAAATTGATGGACAAGAGATGAGGGCCTCCGACTGTAAGGCAGTCTATAAATAATATTAATAAAAGAAAAGAATGCTTCACATAATACATAATTGAATCATGCAGTTTGCTGCTACCAGATGTGGTGGTAGCCACTGAGGAATTAGATGGTTTGCAAAGGGGATTAAACTAGTCCCCCCTAACCTGCTGCCCTCCAGATTTGTTGGACTGCAACCCTCATCGTCCCCAGCCGTTGTGGTAGGCACATTTTTGATGGCGAATAGTACCCAGATGATCTCTCTGTGATGTGGGGGCTACAGTCCAACATGGACATTTACCTGGGCGCAAGTCCCATAGAATTCAGTGGGACTTGATTCCAAGGAGGTGTGGGTGGGAGTGGGGCTCCTGGCCACTTCAGCAAAAGCCGGTCACAACTAAGTTCAGTTGAAATCAGCAGGAAAGGTAAGATATAAAGCTGTGAAGCCTTGCACCCTTCGTACAGGCGTTTAACGCTACCGAACTGAGAAGCACTGACTCCCATGCAAACACGCATACCAAGTGGCACATCTTGTTCCATTCCGTTCAGTGGGTCTCAGTTGTAATTAACTTGTGCGAGATTTTGCCCTCATGCTAGCAGATAAGACTTGTGCAGTCCAAACACAACATTGTATCTTGTTCTGATCTGAGCCAATATTGTGGTCCTTTGGCTCAGTTAGTCCCTGGCTGCCTAGGGCTCAGCCCTAGACAAATGTTTAGCGTCTCTTGCTGTCATCCCAGTCACTGATTTGCTCCTCCGCCTCCTCCCCCACTGGCGCCATTTCATTTTTTATATTTTATAGACTTTTGATGGTTTTTATACTTTTATATCTGCACTGGCTAAAAGCTTGTGTGGTGTTGTGATCAGAATGTTTGACTGGGAATCTGCTTCTAACCCACCCTCAGTCATGAAGCTTACTGGGCCAGTTAAAAAATCTCAGCCCAGCCTACCTCACTTGGTTCTTGCTGTGAAGATGAAAGTAAACTAACTTGAGTTCTTCATAAAGGGAGAAAAAAGTGAGATATAAATGCAATGCAACAATAACACTTCTAGTCATTTACCCCCATAAAAAAGAATTTTCTATTCAACTCTGGAAGGGTTTTTGGGGTTTTTTTTAAAATCAGCCCAGGCTGCTTCTCCTCTCCTCTCCTCTCCTCTACTCTCCTCTCCTCTCTTCTGCCTTTCTTGAAGAGAGAAAGATTTCTCCCTCCTAACAAGAGTTTCCCCTAGCAAAGGCATTCTTGATACTCCTACAAAATGAAAACTCTTGCAATGCAATCTTACACAAGTCTTAAACGTAAGCTCCACTTAATTCAGTGGGGCTTACTCCTTGGTGACTTAGTAAAGGAGTGCCTGCTTCAGCCTCATAACATAAAGACCAAGTTTGCACAATCACTGGAACCTGCTGCGGCTTCTTTATGCAGGTTGTGTTATGTGTCGGCAGTCATTTTGAATTACGGTCCAGCAAATACTGGAGTATTTGAAGGTTGTTCAAGCCATGAAGAATCCCTGCCACCCACATTTGGATCACATGACGAACAATGGCAATCACCTGCCAAGAACTGAGTATTCAAAATGGCTGCTGGCATGTGCTGTGCCAAAATGCTGTGCCTTAGTGGAATGTGGTGTAAAAACACTATTTTGGAATGGGTACAGATCATAGAATCATAGAATAGTGGAGCTGGAAGGGGCCATGAAGGCCATTGAGTCTAGCCCCCTGCCATTGCAGGACACCACGTTACACCCTCCCACTCAGATGGCTGTCCAGATGAAGAAATGCAAATAACACCCCCATTTTCTCTCCTGCTCTCACCTGTTCACAGTGGCCAGCCTGGAAGAACAAAAATCTTCACTGCTGAAGGAGCTCTCGACGCTCGGCCAGAGCCACACTAAGGTACCTTGGCCCAGTAGCAGCCTTTCCTGGTAGGCTCCTTTCTTCTCCCCACCACCTTGTCCTTCCACATTCTTACTCCTCCTCTGTTCGCGGCAGGTACTGCAAAGCTACAAGGAGCTGAAATTGCAAAAGGCGGCTTCAGCTGCTGTGGGGCAAGCTGGCTCTCCATCTGCAGAGGCAAAAAGGTTTGGAAGGGAAAGCTGGGCATGGAGGGGAGGTGTTCAGAAGGGGGCGCTGTGCTGCCACGAAGCAAGGTGGGCCCCTCACCTCACTGTCGTTTAACAGGAGGCCTATTTTAGGCCCAAGTCACTGAGGTGGTGGAGCAGCGCTTCGCATCCCAACAGCCATTCTGCTGCAGGCTGCTTTCACCCATTCCATGGGGTGGGGGGGAGAGAGGAAGACCTTTGTGGTTGCCGAGCAACTGCTGGGCCTCCCACTCTGCCTCAGCAAGCTTATTGCAGAAATGGATGGAACGCTGCCCCGGTTGCTTAGCAACTCCCTAGGGTTGCACTTTTATTTCAATATTTATTAATAATTGCTTTTGACATCAGGCATAGGCAATACACAACCCACGGGTCAGATGTGCCACTCCTACATCTGGTTAACAAACACTGATGAGGATATTTTATAATGGTCACACAGTGCAGAGAAAGTCAAAATTAGCTGTAACTGTCACAGATGAATTTCTACACACACACACACACACACACACACCTTTTTCTGGCACCTGCAGTGTGAGGCCTACAGAGTGGGAAAGGGAATATCAGGGCAAAAATGATCCCCCCCAGTGATCCTACTGAATCTGCCTACCTGATTTTCTGCTTTTTTATCCCACTTTTTGAACAATTATTCTTTCCCCAAACAGCTCTAAAAGAGAGAGAGAGAGAAAGAGAGACAAGCCCTGTCATCAGGCTTAGAAACTGAGTCAGATCCATGACACAATAGTTATTTGAGGTGGGGAAGGAGCTGAATTCTACTTGTGCACAGGAGCAGTAAACACAAGCTGCTTCACAGATGACTTGGTAGAGATGAGAGGAAGAAGTGCGGGGGGGATTTCTCCACTTGCTTACAGAGGTCAGGTGACTGCCAGGCCAATAGAGGTCCATTTTTCAAGGTGGTGTCCTGGTTATGGAATTTCCTCTCCCCTCCAAACTGTCTGGCATCTTCTTTATTGGCTTTTTAACAAAGATATCCGATAATAGCTGTCCTGTTCTCCTGCTTCTTTAATAGCAGTATAGGCTGACTGTCTCTGGGTCTCTTTAATCACATGGTAGTAGTGTTCTTTTAATTTCCCTGTATAATAGTTAGTCTGTTTTAACTGGATCTGTCAGTCTCATTGATGGCTTTACTGTAGTTAGAACAGAGATGAAACCACAAGTCAATTTCTGAAAGTTGCTGAATGGGTCAAAGCAAGAACCTTCCCCAAACTGGTGCCCACCAGATGTGTTGGACTACAACTCCCATCATTCCCAGCCAGCATGGGCAAAAAATATGGGAGTTGCAGTCCGGCATATCTGGTGGGCACCAAGCTGGGGGAGGCTGGAGTAGATGGTTATAGACATGGCTGTTTTAGAATAATAAATGTCATAATGAGAAATAAAGGTAACCTTTCCCCCATCTGGGCAGGCTGAAACTTCCAGCAATCCGGGAGCCACCTCAGTGTCTGCCAAACACCCCTGATGCTGGGCCACCTGAGGTACCTCAATGCCCACAGGTAAGTAACATGGGTTTTTCAGGGCTGAAGGTGCTTATCTTGAGCCTGGAGATGTTTATAGACTTTTAGCAAGTGGCAGCCAAGATGGATTTGGGAGGCCTGATGCAAGGAAGAGGCAGAGCTGGTAACGGAAGGGAAGAATTAATTCCCCGCTGTATTTTTTCACCCCATCTTTCCTTAGGAACCTGCAGAGATTCAAGAGGTTCCTTGCTCAGAGAAGACATCCCAGGGAGATGCAGGAAGGAATGTTTTCCCCCTTTTGCAAGAAATGTGGCAGCCAGAGAAGGATGGTATGGAGGAGACCACCACCCCCTTCCACTCTAGAATAAATTTCAGTATTGAGTTGGATCTTTGGTCCTCCCAGCTGGGCATTTTGTCCTCTTGATTGGCCAAGGTTCCCATGTAGGTCTTTCCCACCCCTTGTGACTAGATCTGCCAGAAACTGGACTTTCTGCAGGGAGTAGCTATGTGCTGGGAAGGTACAGGGCATAGCACTTATAGACTATATGCAAAGAGTTATAGAAGATGAACCAAGTATCTTATAAAAACAGCAAGTGCATGGTATTTCCCCCTGTTTTCCAGCCCCCACTGCTCAGTTACAGGGCTTCAACTTAGAAGACCTTCTGAGTGCCACTCCAGAGTTGGGAGCTGACCCAGAGAAAGCAAGCAGGTAAGAGAAGCTTGTGCAGCTTCTGAACCCAAAGCACTTCCTGGGAAAACCTGACTGGCATGTGCTGCAGAATCGCACCCTTCCAGTGCGTTGAGGGAACAGCTGGGCCAGCCTTCCCCTGCAATCTGCACCATCATGCCTATCACTGGGGAGTTCAGTCATATGAATGATGGTGCAGCTTTGTCTGCAGGACCCTGGGAGCTGTAGACCAACACATCTGGAGGGCTCTGTGTTGGGGAAGCTGGGCTAGGCATTCTCTTCCTGTCTCCCTCAAACTCAGCATGCCTGTACCATCTCCTTATCCTCCAGTGTTTCTTCTGTGTCCACCTGGCTGGTGCGCTCATTTCAGTAAACTTACTCCTTCTTGCCATCCTACCTGCTGCTTTGGAGGACCACACATATCATAGAGTCTGATGGCCAGACAGACAGATTCATTCCCCCCACCCCATACCTCCTTCTGCAGCTGCTCTTTTGAAAGCAGTGTAGACACAGGATGGAGAAAGAGGATGATATTTTGAGGAAGAGGCTTCTGTGTTCATTTGCTCCTCAAAAGAGCCACAAACCACCCCCACCTACTGTTCATTGGTTTCTGTCTATTGTGGTGTTGGATGTGGATGTGTGTTGTTGCCGGGATGGGGGCGGGTGGGTACTCTGTCTATTTGTCTGTCTGTCTGTCTCTCAGCCCCCTGAGTACCACCCTCGAGCGCAACACGGTCTCCCTTTTCGCCGAGGTCTCAGGCCTCAGCCCTGAACTCCTCAGTGATATGGACAACGGTGCAGATTTACAGAGTAAGTGAACTCCACCTTCTTCCTCCTTCTACATCAGTTCCCTCCTGCCCCACTGGGACATATTCCTCCACATAACCCAGGAGTCCTCTCCCACACTGCATTCTCATCCAGCAAGTGCCACTCCCAGACAAACTGGCTCTCTGATTCACACGTAACACTCTGATTCATAAGCACTGTTGAATTTTGTTCTTGTGATGATTGTGGGAACAAACCCTGGTTTAGTAACCGCAAACAACTTAGAAAGAGAGCCCATTGTTTGTTGCTGACTTAGAACACTGGGTTGTTTAAACCATGGCTTGTTATTACACATGAACCCCAAAACTGTGAGTAGTTCATGGGTTGTTTCATCAGGCTACACAAGCAGCAGGAAGAACAGTGAAACAGACCATCTTGTCTGGTGCCAGTACTGTAGCTCCAGAGATGTGCTTGGGAAACGGAAGGAGCAGGTCCAAGTGGAAGGGACTGAGACAACAAAGCAGTTTGTTTGATGCTGCCAAACAAGCCCTAGAGCAGTGCAACACAGTTGGGTTAATGGGTCAGTGTTGGGCAAACTCCAACTTCGGGTGAATCTGGTTTCTTACCTGTGCTCTAGCAGTTCTCTGATGTCTATGTCTGACTATCTTTGCAGGTGATCCCTTAGAAACCCTGATGGCAGAAAACACTCGGCTACAAGAGGCACGGTAAGAAAGAACCCTTCCATTAAAAAATGACAAGAGGTGGAGTCCCTGGAAGGAAAGGAAAGACCCTGATATGCCTTTTTCAGGAGCAGTCTACCTAGGAGGCAGTGAAAGAAACATGAATCCTATCACTGGTGGCGGGCCTGCATCTCAGTTGGGTCAGACCCCCACGCCCTCCTGAGCCATGCAACCTGTCCCTGGTTTAGAGTCGCCTGTCTTTTGCTGTCCCATCCCCAGGATCACTCTGGATACTGCTCGCCGCCACCTTATTGCCCGTGTGGAGGAGCTCAGCGAAGAGCGCGAATCGCTTCGGATGGAGCGTGAAGGAACGTTGGCAGCCCTGTCGCGTTGCCAAGCCCAGCTGAAAGAGGCTGAGTTGGAACTTATTCGGTAAGTGATCCCACCACAGCACCATACTGCCTGTCTCTAACTGAAAGCCTCGTATAGGTGAGGTCTGTTCTACTAGGGGGATCCACAACTGTCTTCAAAATAGGTCAAGAAAGTGACCGTCAATTGTAGCATCTCAACCTGGAGAAAAATCACTAGTGGGTTACTACAGGGCTCAGTCCTGGGACCAGTACTCTTCAACATCTTTATTAATGACCTTGACAAGAAAATCCAGGGAAAGATGATTAAATTTGCAGATGATACTAAACTAGGTGGAATAGCTAATACCCTGGAAGACAAAAAGAAGATCCAGAGAGACCTAGAAAGCTTGAATGCTGGCAGAAGACAACAGAATGAAATTCAACAGGAAGAAATGCCAGGTTCTCCACTTAGGCAAAAAATCAGCTGCATCGATATAAGATGGGGAATACTTGGCTCAACAGCACTGAAAAAGAAAAAGACCTTGGAGTTGTTGTAGACAACAAGCTAAATATGAGCTAGCAGTGTGGTGCAGCCACAAAAAAGAAATACTGTTTTGGGATGCATAAATAGAGAAGTATTCTGCATTAGCCAGACCTCACCTTGAATACACCAGTAAGACTGTGGAACCAGCTGCCAAGAGAGGTTGTGTGCTGTTCCACACTAGATGCATTCAGGAAGCAATTGGGCAGTTACCTGCTTGGGATAGTGTAACTGCCGTCCTGCATTAGTAGGGAGTTGGACTGGATGGCCTTCCTGGCCCCTTCTGACCCAGCTGTTCTGTGAAGCTGTGAGTTCCACACATTGATTGGAGAAATGCATGCTCCAGTTCTGAGAGAGGAGTTAAGTTTCTCAGTGTCATAACAGGCTGTGCCCTAGAGCAGTTGCTCATGGAGCCAACCAGAGGGGAGGCAATCCCGAATGTAGTCCGAGGCAGGGTTGTCCAGGAAGCAGCACAAGATATAAATGCTGTTGAGTCATTAGGTAACAGTGGCCACGCTGGTATTAGATTTAATAGTCTTCCAGTTAGGTGGAAGAGTGCCAAAGAAGTCGAACACAGTTGCATTTGATTTCAAAAGAGGAATTTCTCAAAAAATGAGGGAACTGGTAAAGAAGAAGCTGAAGAGAGGAATCAAGAAGATTAAATTGTTTTAAAGCACTTGGAGATTATTCAACACACTATAATAGAGGCACAGATAATATGCATGCCACAAGTGAGAATAGGTAGCACAAAGTCCAGGAACTTACCAACATGGTAAATGCACAGCCAAGGAAGCTACAAGGGAGAAGAAAGCTTTCTTGAAGAAATGGAAGTCTTGGGCAAATGAAAAGAATAAACGGGACCACAAGCTTGCACAAGGGAGATGCAAACAGACCATCTGAAAGACCAAGAAACAGTTTGAGGAGCACATTGCTAAGGTTAACCATAAAGAATTATTTAAATGTATCAAAAGAAAGTAAGTGGCTAACGAAGCATTTAGGCCACTGGATAATAATGAAATTAAAGAGTACTGAGGAGGAGATTGCAGAAAAGCCGAATGAATTCTTTTTGTCAGTCTTCACAACAGAGGATGAAGAGCAGATATCTGTCCCTGAGCTTTGTATTCTGGAAGGGAGGCTGAGAAATTAGGGCAGATAGTAGTGACTAAAGATGAAATTCTCAACCTTACTGACAAACTGAAAGTCAACAAGTCACCTGGTCCAGATAGTATCCATCCTAGAGTTCTTGAAGAACTATTGTCACTATTTTTAAACATTCTTATGTTGTCTCCCACTGTGTGTGCATTCAGCTGATGATCACATTATGTGAGCATTTACTAGTTCAATGGAAAGACAGAACCCACCCTTCCTGGAACTCCAACCTTTAATTATTCCAGCTTCATTATGTGAGCACACATCTCATCCACTCATCCCTCTAATTCCAGGGTCCGGCAGGAGTTTGAGGAAACGAGACGTTCGAGTGAAGATGGGGAGGTAACCAGAGTGCTCTCTGCTGGGACTTGTAGGAGGCAGTTTGGGTTCTGTGGAGGCTGGTGGGGGGGCGGTGGGGAGGGCATGCAGCAACAGCAGCTCATTCTTTCAGTCCAGAGGTGAATTTGGGGAAGCTCTTATGGGCCACATTCTAGACAGAAGGTGTGAGGTCAAGTTGTAAGCTGTATATTGTAGCGTAAAGCACTTCCTTCCAGCAACCCAGCCTTAGGAGAAGCATCTCAGTGTTTTGGAATGGCAGCAAAATACACCAGATGACTGGTGGTTGTGGCAGAGTGTGGGTCCAGTCCAGACCGATACCCCGGCCAGGCCAAAATTGGCCTGGGGGCCAAAGGGTCAGCAGCCCAGGTTTGCAGGCTATGGTCAGGACAGCTTTGAGAGTCAGAAGTTTGGGCCCTCCTGAGGGAAGCATGTTTGTGCCCTGGTGAGGCAGGATTGCCTTCTTCATCCACAGGCTGAAGGGGGCTTGTCTCGGCCCCATCGGTTCACCCGGGCTGAGATGGCGCGTGTGGTGATGGAGCGCAACCTGTATAAGGAGAGGCTGATGGAGTTGCAGGAGGCCGTTCGACGCACCGAGCTCCTAAGGTTGGTGGCACTCAGGCTGATGAGGCCAGCGCTGGATTCACAGGAGGCAAGGAGATGTCTTCTCTCCCCACTCCACGTTATGATCTGTGCCCTCCTAGACAGCCCCCAGGGGTGAGCAAAACTGGCACCCCTCCTGCAGCAGCTGGGAGCACTTAGGAGGTCTGTGGGCATCTTAAGGTTGGCATCGTGTTGGAGGTGAGGATTGCGAGTCACTGAAGTTCATATTCCGGAGGAGGGGATTCTGAACCACAGAGGGGAAGCTGCGTTAGTCTGTTGCAGCAAAGACGACAAAAGGTTCCCATTGCACCTTAAAAACTCACTTTTTTGGCATGGGCTTTGGTGGACTGCCAGCCCACTTCATCAGATGCAGGACATGTTCTCCTGAGTTGCGGGTCTAACTGAGTTACCCATGGGGTAGGTGGAGCAGGAAAGATGAGAAGTGGTCGGGTCAGGGGGCAGCGAAGCAGTTGTGTTATTCACAGTGGCTGTTCACACAACACAGTTGTTGCTGGTAGCGCAGACACGGCTGGCTGGGGCATGCCAAGAGTTCTTGCATCCTAAATCATATTGTGTGGTTTTTTAAAAATAGTCCCTTATTCTGATTCAAGCCTCTGGGGGTTGTGTTCACCTCTTACACAGGGTCTGAAATTCAGTAAAGTTACTAAGAGGACCAAATGTGACATAGACTTTCTTATGCACATGTTCATAACCGCTGTAACAGACAGAAGAGCTAGTTAAATGCTGCTCTGTGTTTTAACAGTGACTTCGAAACACCCCCGCACACACACATATATGGTTTTGGTTGTCTTGTTTCCCCACTTCCAGCCTTGGGGACTAGTAGCCCTTAAAATGAGAAGAGGGGGAAGAGGAGTCCCTGGACAGTAGCCTAAATAATTGTTTATCTTTTTTCAGGGCTTCACGGGAGGAACAGGCTGTTCAGATGAAAAAATCGTCTTTCTGGAAAATGTAGGTGTCATCTTAAGATCGGCCTCTCTAGCTATGGGTGTGCATATGCTATGATTCTGCCATGGTGTGCAAATGCAGAATCTAGTCTTGGGCAGACAAAATGGCATTCTGAAAATCTCTCTCTTTTCCCCTTTTGAAAGAAAGCAAGTTTCTAGACCTGCTGAATACACAGACTGGCTTGAAAGTATGTGAGAGAGCAATCCTAATGCTGCCTTTCCCCCAGCCTGAGGCCCTCGAAATGTGTCAAACAATAACTCTCACTGTTCCAGGTGCATGTTTGGGTTTTTTTGCCCTGTCGGTTAGGAACATTGGGAGTTGTAGTGCAAGCATCCAGAGGGCACTAGATTGGGGAAGGCTGGCCTAGGGAAATCTCAGAAGCAGGTGGCTGGGCTAAGATTTCTATCTGTGTGGTAGAGCTGGGGAGACTCAGTTCTGCTGTTCAAGGTGCAAGGTGTTTCTTTGATATCAAACTGTGATTTTTTTTTTTTTTTAGAAGAAGGTGCTAAGAATGCTCACTGTGCCCTCCCACTAGTTTCCCTTTAACCACATTGGCTTTCCTTCCCTGCAGCTTTGATCGCCTATTCAGCCCCTCTGATTCTCCAGAGAGATCCCCGGCCTCTCCGCTGCCGCCAGGGAGGGCTCGGTCTAGTCCCACAGGCCGTGGCGAACTGGGGAGGAATGGAGGGCAGTTGCCTCCAGCACTGAGATACATCCCCCGAGCTACCTCGCCTGGCACGACGTAAGTTGTGCAGCAACAGCAACACCTTGCAAGAAGGGATGTGCAAATAGGAAGGTGTGGAAGCCGGCCTCTTGATTCCCAGCACCACCGCTTCTTCTGGATGGAACACTGCTGCCTTCGACCAAGTCAGGCTGTTGGGTCGCCTGGCCTGTCTTGCCTGGTCTAATCAGGGACAGCTTTCCAGGGTCCTTCCTAGAGACCTTTCCCTGCCCTTCTGAGGGATGCCCTTCTTTCTAGTTGGAGATGCCAGGGACCTATTCCACGGCCTTGGCCTGCACAACACGCACTCTCTGCCACAGCAATGAACTCCGCCTGCATAAAATGATGCCACTTTATACAGAGTTCTCCTGCAGATGTTAGGCCAGGGGTGTAGAACCTCCAGCCAGGGGGGCATCCCACACTCCAGTTTCCAAACCCCACCCCCTGGAGGAAATCCATTTGGAGGTCACCCCTGACCTGAGACTGGAGACAACCACAAGAATGAGAGCAGCGTGAGTTCGGTTGTGTGCAGAGCCAAGTGGGTGTTATTCCACCCACAGCCTCTCCTCCCTGCTGCTTCCTCCAAGCTGACCAAGGGGTCCAGCTGTCTGTGGCTGAAGAGAACAAGGGAGTTCCCTGAAGGAGAGCAGCCTGTGCATTAGCCCAGCACTCGCAGGCACGGGGGGGGGGGGGGGGAATGTGCTTTGCATCTGGTCCTTGTTCTTTACCTGAGAAAAGAGCCAGCTGCACAGGTGCGGTACTTAAAGGAGCTGAGGCAAGCACTGGACAAGTGTGCAGCTGCCGCTCTCCTAGGAGAGCCACTTTCTTGTCTCTCCTCTGCGACTGATGATAACAGAGGGATCCCCTTCACACACACACACACACACACACACACCCGCTTTGATTTTACTAGCACCACCAGCGGCAGCTCTGCTGAAGTCTGCATTATGCAGCAATTGCAGGCAGCCCCATCTGGGCAAACCTCCCAGAAATAAGTATAGTTTAGCTGTCATACCTGTGCAGGATTTTCATTAGAGGCTACCTGCCTCCTCCTACTCACTGTCTCGTGTACCTGCAGGGCTGACAGTTCGCCACAGCAGAAGCGTCGAGAGCTATACCGCGAGATTCGCTCGCACATCTGGCAGGAACATGGCAGGGCACAGATCCATGGGTGGAGCCAGCCACCTGCGCTCCAGGTGAGCCTTCTTGCATATTTACCGGGGTCTCATGTTTCTCACTAATTTGACAAAATACATTCCAGTCCAAGGAACTAGTCCTCGTGAATTGATTTTATCACCCTGGAGATAAAGGAATAATGCATACATGTTGACCTGTGGTTACATTTTATGACATCTGATACTACAAGAGATTTCCCCTCATTTGATGATTAACTGGGAACATCCATGTCGAAAATCAGGCCACCTAAATTAAAATCTTTGAGTAAAATGGCAGTGCCCCAGACAGGCTGCACATGCTTTCTTCCACCATAGGCTTGAAAGATTGCCTTTTTCATATGACCACTGCATGTTTTAAGGCAGAATTAGGGTTAGGGGAGGTTCTTCTCTTGGTCCCATCACCACAGGAGGGAACAAAGGGAGGGGCTTCTTGGTGGTTGGTCCCAGGCTGTCGAACTCCTTGCCAAAGGAGTATCTTTGTTGTCCTTCTTCCAACAGCAAAATACATTGGTATTTACATTTAACTATTTTGGTGCTTTCTATTGCTGTGCTTTTAATTGTGTTCCTGACTTATTTTTATGTTTTAATCACAATTCTCTTTGCATTTTATTGTTGAGTACCATGCTTGGTAGAAGGATGGAGCCTAAATTTAACATATAAGGGTGCAGTTTTATGCATGTTTATTCAGAATAGAAGTTCTGTACCCTCCCAGCATTCCCAGCCAACATGGCACACTGGGGACTGGTAGGACTTCTTTCTATGTAAGCATGCATGAGACTCTATTCTGAATAAATAGTGAGCTCCATTCCTTCAAGATAAGTCTTCTCTGTGTTAAAATGTGGTTCTGTTTCCACTGCAGGGCCATGACCCACCTTCAGGGGGCGCTGATGTACCTGTGCTCATGCAGCTACGGATGCTGGACCAGAAGGACCCCAGTACCAAGGTAGTGAAACAGCTTGTCTCCAAAAAGCGGATGGCTGGCAGATGCTTTTGCTTCCCCCCATCCCACCATTAAACTTAGGGGCACACCTGACGAAATCCACTGCCATAAACTGAAAACAAAAGGATTTTGCTTTAGAAGGCGTAGGAGTAAAGCCTAGAAGCAGTGACTCATGCAAAGAAGTAACGGGCAGCTTCCTGTGGTGGTGGGGACAGCCGATCTGTCACTTGTCTGCACTGGCTGTGAATGACCCACAGGAATGTCCAGGCCTGATGGCCAAGTGGAAGGGGGCAAAGTCAAAGCAGGGAAACGTTCCTTGACGTGGCAGCCTCACAGCTCGCTTGTGGTACACTTGTGTACTCGAGTGCCCCAGTTTGGGAACTGACACACCAGGGTCTTCTGACGACAAGTGGGGAGAGAGTGGACAGTCCCACACGCCAGCCTTTCCAAACACAGGTCTGGGCTCATCTCACGACTGTATTTGTGTCTCCCCTTGCAGCTCTGGTGCGCTGCAGCATCAGTCAGACCTCAGTCCCAAGAAGCACTCAAGACAGTAAGTACTGGTTTTTGCAGCTGGATTTTAGTGTTCCTTCCCCTATTTTTTTAAGTTTTTGTCCAGCTTTTTTTTAAGGTTAAGAAAGATCTTAGTAAGGTTGGTCTTCCGTTTGGAGTGTTTTATCCCTCTGGAGTGTTTTTCCAGAATTTTATCAGATTGATCTCAGTGTTTAGTTTTCCTACAATTCTCTTTTTCCATTTTACTTAATACTTCTGGTTGCATTATTACATTTTATATCTTGTGGCATGTTGCTTTTGGAGGCTTTGCTGAGCAGTTGCTTTTTTATTTTATTGTCTTTGTGTTTCTGTCATGTTTATCTTGGGAATCCAATAGTAGTTGCTGCTTGAGGTTCTGCAGGGAACCTTTTCAGCCTCTTTCCTCTGGCCTTATGGATTCAAGTCCATGGAGGTCACCATGCACAAAAATGTTTAATGTGCTTAGTTACATGGGTCAATCTGTGTGTAAAGGTGTTGTGGGAGGAAGTGGGGAAGAAGAACAAGAACTTTTCCAATTGTGTCACTTTCCTTGCCAGGTTGCCTGGAAAGTTTTAAGTGATGGTGTGGACTTGAGCAGCTTGAGCAATGAGAAAAACAACCACTTGTAGTTGCTGGTTCAGAATGGAGGTTATGTGCGTGGGAATAAAATAGAGGGGGGAAGCTTTCTTAAAGCCCAGTTCTCTTGCCAATGCCTCGCTTTTCTCAACCCTGCAGGGCACCGCTTGTCAAGACTTCTCAGGCAGCGCTCAACTGTGGGTGGCCGCAGGGACCCACTCTGTGAGCGAAGTGACTCTCTTTGATGCCCAGAACACCAGCCAGCTCCTGGAGCACTTCGTGCTGCCCGGCATTCATGTCCTCTCTATCGCCTGGGTGCCTGGTTAGTGCTGGGAAGGACAATGGGGAGGGTGGGAGCTGAATCCAGCCTCTGTGGCCTTTTTGCTTGAGCTATTGTTTTCCCCCTCTTCAGCTGCTGCTGCTAATTGCTCTGTTATTGTACTTGCGCTTTGCCTTTCTATTGTGATTCGCCTCCTTCTGTTTTGTTCCTCTCTGTTTTGAGGACTTCATGATGTTTTTACTCCACCCTCCTCCCAAGGAGCTCAGCAGGTGGTTCTTCTCCACTTCTCCCACTTTATCCTTGCAGCAAACCTGTGCTGGGTTGGGAGACTGTCTGGTGTGCAGCCACCCCATAAACTTCACAACTGAGCAGGGATTTGAGACCTGCGCTTGCCTGACCGCTGTGCCACACTGACCATCTGTCTGCTTTTGAAAAACAGTCCATGAGCCTGCGGCTACAGAGGATGTTGGATTACAACTGCTATCAGCCCCTACCAATATGGCCAATGATCAGGGTCGGTAGAAGTTGTAGTCCCTCAACATCTGGAGGGTTGCAAGTTACTCTCTTAGGCTATAATTGGTCAGATGAATAATACAGGACGCATTGTGACGTCCAGCCTCAAGGTGCCACTGGACAGATTTCTGAAATGCTGCGAACAAGGTGCTTTGAGCACACTGCATTTCCTTCATATCCTCCTATGCCCCTCCTTTAATTTTGCAATACTCTCAAAAGAAAGCCAAAGAGCAGCCTTCTATCCAGTCAGGCTGCTCCCTGGCCTTCTGGTTCCACTTCGACTGCTCTGACTGATCATTGCTGTCCAAGGTCTCAGGCAAGGGTCTTTCCCAGCTTGCTGTCAGATATCCATGGGACAGAGATTGACCCTTGGTCTATCCCTGCATGCAAAGTGACTGCTCCATTTCTGAATTATGGCTGCACACCAAGAACAAAGTCTGCACCAAAGAGGCCGACAAACAAGGGACCCCAGCAGAAGTGATGGCTGGAGAAGAGTCCAGAGTATTTGAAGAGAGGCAGTTTTGTGGAAGTGGCTTCCCTATTCCCTGCTAGCTTTATTTTATGTAGACTTTGTTCCTTGGGAAGAACAATAACTTGGGAACTGAAGTATAGGCTTGGAAGCGCCATGTCAATGCTTATTTGAAGCATTTTTATTCTGTTCTTTACCCCTCACAAAAGGGCTTCTGGAGCAGCTGATAAAGTTTACTAATAATACAATTCCTGCCTTCAGGCTTGTGGTCTAAAGTGCATGACATAGAAGGAAAGGGAATTGGGAGGGAGGAGGAAGAAAGCAAGCTCAGATTCTAATTCTTAAAACTGAAGCCCTATTATGGGAATGAGCTGGAATGGTTGGAAGCAAGGAGCCCAGCATGCACTGATCTCCCTCCCTCCCTTAAATCCAGCCTCAAAAGCCATTTTCCACACTGCTTTTGATGCAACCTCCGTAATCTCCACTCCAAACTAAGCTTTAAGCAGAATTTGCTCCCCTTCCCTCTTGTTTTAGACTGTAAGCTCCTTGGGAAGAGGGGCCCCTGGGCTATGCTGTAAGGTAGCCATTAGCTAGTCTAGCTCAGGGCTAGGCAACATGGCATCTGCAAGCACCAAAGTCCCCGTAGACACATTCCTTCGTGCTCTCCATGGCACCTTACACCTTCCATAGCAATGCATTTTCTTACCAGCAGCTGGGATTGCTGTGACGTGGGTTTCTCTTAGTACTGAAAACTGGGTCCAGAGTTGTTGTTTCATGTCTTGGGGCTCAGACTCCAACTCTGCTTTGTAGTCAGGTTTTGGGGGCATTTTGCCTTTTGCCATGCCTCCCATGCAGCCATTTAGTAGTGGTGCCTAGCACCATTTCTCAAATGGCCAAATGCGGCCAGGGCCCAAAAAGATCGCCTGTTGGTGGCCCAGCTGCTTTTAAAAGCTGATGGATGGCTGAGAGGGAGTGGAAGGACCTTGTGAGGTTTGGGGGCATGGTCTCATTTTGCACCTGCCTTCTCTGATAAAGTTGGTTTGCCTTCTCTGCCTCAGGTCTTACAGTACCTGGCCGTGGGAGCCCCGAGGGGGAGCCAAAGTTTCTTGAGCACCCCCTGGCACCTCAATCTGACAGCGAGGACGAGGTCCTGGAAACAGAGGCAGTTGGAACCACACCCACCGTCTGGTTTGGGACCCAGGAGGGCTGGTAATTAAGGCCATTGGGGGTTGGTATGGAAGGAGGAGGGGTGGGGAAGGCTTTGGAGAATGACCAACATTCCTGGACAAATTGTCCAGAAACATGTGGATTTGCTCAGCCCCTCCAGTCAGCTGCTCTGCCTCTTCCTCCCTTCGCCAATTCCACCCACTAGTATGTCTTTTGGGGTGCCTTTCTGTGTTGCTGCTGTCGACTACAGTTGTCCCAGCTGACGTATCTGGGAATCCACAAGGTGCTCCCACAGACATGGAGCGTGCTGGTTCAGGTTGCCAGTGAGAGCAGCTGGCGTGTTGGGGAGGCAGGTCGGGACTGGGGCTGGGCGTGAGGACTCAGGCCGTCGCACAGACAGCGGCTGACTAGCATGTGCTTCCGCAGCATCTATATCCACTCTGCTGAGACAGACTGGCGACGCTGCCAGGGCAAAGTGCAGCTGAAGGATGCCATCCACTGCATTGTGTGCGTATGCCTCCCTTTGTCACTTCCTGGGGAGTCTGGGGAGGCCTGGCGAATGTTCCCCACCCTCCCATGCCGGTGTCCTTGGGACCTTCCCCCATCTCACCCTTACTTTCTGTCTCAGCCACACCCAGGGCCGTGTGGCCGCCACACTAGGGGATGGATCTGTGGCCATATTCCACCGGAACCCAGGTAAGGCCTCCTCTTTTGATGCCCTCCCCCACACCCACCCATGGTTGGCGTCCTCAGTCTCATTTATTGCCCATTTTCCATCAGTTCGGAACTGGGACTTGCGCTGCCCACGCCTGGTGGACCTGGGAAGGCCACGGCGCTCCATCCGCTGCGCCATCCCTGTGTTTGACCGACTGTGGTGCGGATATGGAAATCGGATCTATGTGTTGGATCCTCGTGCTGCTCGCATCCAGGTGATCCTCCTAGGGCCTGAGGGTGGTAGCCAGAACCCCTAGAGTCACAGGACACATTTCTGCTGTAGCAGATGATGAGTTGAGAAGGTCTGGAATCCAGTGAGTGCATTGGTGTTACAACAAGTTTTTCGGGGGCACGAGCCAGATGAATCCAAAGTGCCCATTTATAATGACATGAGTGGTTCTCACAAAAGAATCGCTGGCGTAGAAAGAGATCCATTCTGTAATAATGTGCCTCACAGGGGTGAAAAGGAGTCACACCTTTGGAAGGGCTTTAGCTCAGCAGTAGGCCCGCTGCCTGCATATAGAAGGGCCCGAATTCAATCCGCAGCATCTCCAGATAGGGCTGGGAAAAACTAAGTTCCTGAGGAGCTGTTGCCACACATTGTGAACAATACTGAGCTAGGTAGCTTGCAATCTTCCTACAAGACTTGGAGAAGCAACTGGGAGCCATATTCCAGGGTTGGCTGGGGCCGAAACACAGCCTGTTGGAATGCAAAGCCCTTGCTAGTTACTAAGCACTGGGAGAGGCTTTTCTGCCTTGCATAATGTGGAAAAACTGCACAGAAATCTGGAAACCATCAAATGACCAGTGGTTGGGTAAAGGGCAGGGCCTTCTGGAAAACCCTGGAGGCCAGATTGGGACCACCCACCCCCCCAAGCAGGGCAGGCGTTGTCATTGGTCTGAGGTGTAACACACCTGAGCGAAACTCCAAATTAGGTGTGGGCAGAATGTAGATAAGCATCTACTGGGTGCTTTGCAGTAGGTCAGCAATGATTTCCAACTTCCAGCTGTTTATTTTTAGGTATTTTTAGGTCTCACTTGTAATGGTTTACAATCTCTTGCTGTGCAATAGCTCAGGTGCAGATTTGTATTTGCAGATGCAAGTCTTCCTGGTGTACAGCTCATGAGGTTCAATAGGTCATTGACTTTACCTGCCAGAAGCACCACTTTGTCTCTGGCTCCAGGGGGCGAACCTTGGGGTTCTAATTAGTCAAAGAGCAACAGCAGAATACGTCCCACAAGCTTGATGTCTTTCTCCCCGCACCCTGAATATCTCAGGGGGCAATCCTCTGCATGCTCAGACAGAAAAATGGCCCAGATCTCCCTGCATCCCCTGGCCAGCATATTGTAGGCCTGTTTTTCTGTCCAAGCTTGGCTAGGATTGCACCCTCAGTCACTGGAATGCAGTTGGTGGAAGAAAAGAATCTGGACCGCTTTCCTGAAATCGGCCTGTTGGGGAAACAGGATACAGAGGGTGGGATGCAGCTAGGAAATGTGCAGTGGGAGCTCTGTGATTTTCTAGCCATCCTGTTTTAAGGAACAGACCCTATAGTAGTGGTGGCGAACCGATGGCACGCATACGCCAGCGGGCACGCAGCACCCTCTCTGTTGGCATGCGAGCCAGGTTGCCCCAGCATCGCCCCAGCAGCCGAGCATCGGTTAGCAGCGCACATGGGGCCATGCGCATGCTCGGAAAGGAGTAGCCATGCCAGGCAATGAGGTTACGAGCCGCAACTCATTAGCCGCGACTCGTCCGAGCTTTCGCGTGGCTGGTCAGTGCGCTGCCAAGGATATGTATACATTTGCTTGGACTGGCTGTGAGTTGTTTTTTATAAACTAAAACCTCAGTTTTCAGCTTTTATTGCAGTGTTGGCACTTTGCAATAAATAAGTAGGTTTTGGATTGCAGTTTGGGCACTCAGTCTCTAAAAGGTTCACCATCACTGGATTAGGGTTAGGAAAATGAGGTGTCCTGGTATGATTTTGATGGTTGGAATATGTTTAGAATGGGCAGAAATGTTGAGTTGTGCAGAAAAAGCTACACAAGGAAGGCTTTTTCAAAATCTCCCTCTTTTATATGGAACTTTAGCCCTATATTAGGGTTAGGGGTGTGCACCAGGGCAGGGTTAGGGTTACAAAAATGAGGTGTCCTGGCATGACTGTGATGGTTGGAATGTGTTTAGAATGGGCACAAATGTTGATCTGTGCAGAAAAAGCTACTCAAGGAAGGCCTTTTCAAAATCGCCCTTTTTTCTATGGCACTTTAGCCCTGTATTAGGGTTAGGGGTTTGCACCAGGGTAGGGTTAGGGCAGTGGTGGTGAACTTACGGCACGGGTGCCACAGCGGCCATGCAGAGCCCTCTCTGTCAGCACGCGGGGCAAGTCAACGCACCATTGTCCCAGCAGCTGAGCATCGGATAACATGCACATATGGGCCATGCGCATGCTTGGAAAGGAGTAGTGGCACCAGGCATCGACGGCATGTGCAACAACTCATTAGCTGCAACTCGTCTGAGCTTTTGCTTGGCCAGTCATTGCACTGCCAAGGATATATATATATATATTTGCTTGGATTGTGAGTTGTTTTTTCTAAACTAAAACGTCCGTATTCAGATTTGATTGCAGTCTTGGCACTTTGCAATAAATAAGTGGGTTTTGGGTTGCCGTTTGGGCACTCAGTCTCTAAAAGTTTCGCCATCACTGCCCTATATCAAGGCAAAGAGCAGGTCAAGGACCTGCAAAAAAAACTCTCAGGGCATGCCTTCCAGTGGTGGGTGGGAGTGGCAAAGGCAAAACAGGACATGGCTGAAGGACTAAAAAGGTTGGCGTATTCTAGCTTAATGCTCTGACTGCCAGTGACAGCCTGCCAGTGATCTCAGCCTTTGAGAACAGGGGGAAATGTGTCAAAGGAAACCACCAAAGCAGGTAGTGGGATTGTCTTGGGGACCCTGGAAAGCTGGATTTGGCCAGTGGGCTTGAGGTTCCACAGTCCATCCTACAGGTATCAGGTCTGCTTTGATCAACGGGGCTGGGGCTGTTCATTCAGTTGCATTGCCTGTGGCAAGATGCTTTCCCCCCCTTTTCCCAGAGGTACTTTGAGGTGACCTCACACCCTGAAGGCCAAGTGCGGCACATGGTGTCGGCCGGCGATGGCATCTGGGTCTCGGTTCGGCTGGATTCCACTCTGCGCCTCCTCCACGCAGAGACTGGGCAGCCGCTGCAGGAAGTGGAGCTGGGTCCCTTCATCACCCGAATGCTTGGTAAGCGGCGGGAGCAGGAGGGCTTGGGGCTTTTACCTAGGCCAGCATTCAGGCCCTACTAATAGGAGCAGGATGGCACTTATGTGAAGGTGGGCAAGGCAAGCTGTTGGCCACAAGCTGACCTGGACAGAGAGGAACAAAGGAGCAGGTTACCAGGAGAATATCCCAGACTGGTTGTAACGCAGAGGACAGGAAGTTTTTAGCGGAAGCTCCCAGGAAACTATACTCTGAGAAGTTGCTTTGCTGCTTCCCAGGTTGCCTCGGTTTGGCCATTGATCAAGCCCTTCACCCTCTGACTTGACCTTTGGGATCTGGCAACAGCTCTGATCTAGGATGCCTCTAAGATAGACACTAATTCTTGATGCTCTCTTTTTCCTCCCTGCTGTTGCTCTTCTCAGGGCCGAGCAGCTTAAGTCTAGCCTTAAGCATCTCAGCACTTGGCGCTTTTGGGAAGCGGCTGTGGGTCGGCACCTCTGGCGGAACCATCATTTCTCTGCCCTTCATCTCTGGTGAGCCTCATGTGTATAACTGTGGTTATAAAAAGAGGATGCAATGCTACCCCATGCTCTCGAGTTCCCTATAGTTCCTCTTTCTCTACAGAATGCCTCTTTAGGTTCTCTTCCTCTACAGAATTTGCCAGAAGCTCGGATTCTTCCTCCCCTAACACCATCCCTTACTGTGCCATGGAGCTAGCACAGATCAGCTACCACGGGCACCGTGATGCCGTCCGCTTCTTCATCTCAGTCCCAGGTAGTCTTCAGGGATGGCTGGTGCCCACATCTTTGTTCTTTGGAAGCACGGTGGAGCTTAGGGGCTTCAGACTCCATGAGAAAGTACTCAAAGTCAAGAATAGTAAGCTGTTTGCGGCTGGTGGTGATTTATCCAGGAGCCATTAAGGTGCATGGTGCTTTACAGAGTACAGAAGGAACAGGTCCTTGCCCAAAAGCACTCTGTCTTTAATATTTGACATGGAGAAACAGCAGAGGAAGGGGAGAAAAGTAGAAGCAGAGGTAAACAGGAAACCAATCTGCAGTTGTTCCAGTATGCATGTCCTTAGGCAGAGTTACAGTATGATATGGAGTCTTGCACAAAGCCTTCATGGAAAAAATGGGTTTTGAGGAGGGATTTGAATGAAGTTGTCTTACAGGTATGCTAGAAAGCCTACAGGGCAGGAATTTTTATGTGCAGGCAAGTTGATGTGGAAAAAGCAGTTCTTTTGAGTCCCAAGCTGTGGCAGAGCATTAAACATTAAAGTTCACGCCAGTGCAGATCTCTCAAAACTGGCAAGATGCAGTCAGAGTGGGCTCTCCTGGTTAAAATCCCACTTACTCTATTTTGAATGAATTGCACCATTTAGACAGTCAAGGGCAGATCATGTACTACACATTAGGTCTAAATGGTATGTTACCAGACAATGGATGGCTGTTGCCAGACTATCTTTAACCAGAACAGGACCGGGAAATACTGCTATATTAAAGCTGAGCTTCTGTGATTGTGGCACCTTGGCATGGAGAGGGCTCCAACACAAGAAAGATTGGACTATCTAAACTTAAGTTCAAAACTCCTCTTTGCCTACTTTAGGGTGTGCAAATCCGTCCTCTCTGGAAAACCCCAAGGAGTCGCGCAGCCAAGAGCAGCTTGGCAAACCCTGCAACTTGGTGCTAAGTGGCGGGGAGGGGTATATTAACCTCCGAATAGGTAAGAAAGTTGCTTTACAGGTTGGAGGGGGAAATTGGAACAGGAAGCCCCCTGGTTCTCCTGGCCCCACATTCAATTGGCGACTTTCCCGCTTTTCACCCAGGTGATGACACAGACGAGCACTATGGCGACCTGCTGCTCCTGAACCCACGCCTGCGTCGAGCAGAGCGAAGCCACTTCATTGTCTGGCAAGTGCAGGCCTGAGGCTGTGGTGGTGGGCATGACCACAGCTCCCGGATAGTGCTGTTCGGCTTCCGCCTGGGAGGGAAGAGCAGAGTCTCTGGATATTGGTGTTACCCCCTCACTGCTGCCCCCTGCCCTATTCTCCTACTTGGTTTACCTGCTGGGGCCTGCAGGGCAGGGATAGTGACTTTTGCAGAGTTCTCAGGCTGGGGATGGTGTTGGGAGCTGCTGAGACACCATTTTTAATGCCACTGTTTTCAAAGTAGAGCGGTGGGTCATTGTGCAATAAGCTGCCCTGCTTGTCTCACATGCTTCGTCCCCTTCAGGTCCTGTGACACTGGCTCCCTCTTCCCTCTGTCACCCCGCCACAAGGCCCACTTAGACTTGGCTGGCTGGTGCGGAGTCAGGACTTCCGGGCCTTGTACCAGTTGGGAATGATGTGGGTCCGGGAAGTCGGAGCACAGGAAGCCAACAACTAGGGTTCCTGGGACATATCTGGAAGAGGAGCAGCTCCAGCTTTGTTGGAGCCATGACCCTCACCTGCCTCTTGGCTCCTGCTTTTGAGTGTGGTGCTCCGGTGCATATTTTGAGGCTAGAGGTTGGGGTGTGGGGCAAAGGATTGGGAACTACTGACAGCGCTGTTGAAGCCTGTGGACATACACTGCTGCACCGCTCAGGGGGGCCTCAAGGGGGAGGCCTCTTGCCCCGTTGTGCCTCCCAGGCCCTAGAAGCTGAAAAGGAGCTGGCCGATTCCCATGGAAACTCTTGAGTGAGCTGGGTTCTTCCTGGATCTTTGGAACGATGCTGGGGCGAAGGGATCCTCCACAACATTAGTTTCTCAGGGTTGCTGTTTGTTGTTGTCCGTCTCACCAGGCATCCCTGGCAGCATCTCAGGATCACTTTCTTTGGGATGGTTTCTCAATAAAGCTTTATTGTTATTACTGTTGCTGCTGTTGTCATTATTCTCCTCTTGTTTGCATGTTAATTGGGTCTGGGAGCTCTTCACAAGGGAGCAGGTAAATGGCTGGCAGTCTCATTCAAATGTTCAGAGTACAGCCATCCTTACTGTAGGTCTGTCTAAAACTGCAGACACTAGCAGTGCCTAAGGAGGAATCTGCAATGCCTCTTTGGGAGCTTGTTGCAGAACATTCTGGCATTGTGTCACAAGCAGCTTCTTCAAATCCATTCAAGGAAAATTAAACACTTAAAATGTTCCATCATTTAGTCCCATGGCACTTGCTGAGACAGTTTCTATCCCATTACAAACAGTGAGATATAAAAATACTTTCCTTTTGGCTGGATTTTGCCTGTACTGAATGTTAAGGCTACTTTGATGTTGCAACATCAGTAGAAGTGGAATTGGTACTGTTATTATTACTGCCCATTTATAAAGCACTTTAATGAGCTAAATGCTATACCGATTAAGAATAAAAGATTGCCTTCCTGCATACTTAAACATCTACGGATACAACACAAAAGGAAAACAGGTGAATGAGGGAAGAAGGAAACAAGTAAATCCAGGCACTAGTTCTTAAAGTTACATCATTCTTCCAGTGATGACAAGTTACATGAATAGGTCCGAGAGGAGACAGGCTAGGTGGAGCTGGTCTTTTAGCAGAACTGATGGAGAAGACTCTTGCCCGATACAGCAGACAAAACAGTGGCCAAAAAATTACTGTGGAGAAGGAAGGCAAGCCAAATAGCTGCAGATCTCTGAGCTAAGCCAATGGAATAGTATTCTAGGTTAAGATAGGCAACTGCTGGATCATATGGCAAGGCAGGCCAATACTCCAGTTTGGAGCCAGGGCAAGGGAAACTATATCAATGGAACAACTACTACTGGATGCATTCTTAACCAGAGAGGGGAGGGCAGATAAAAAGACGGTGCTTAGAAAACCTGAAATGGCATCCAAACAAGACCCCCCCACACACACACACATATCTATGAAAATGCTGCCACCATTCAGGGTTTTTACTGGTGATGCAGTTCATGTGCCACCAGTGGTGTAGAGATGGCATTTTTGAAGCACAGGTGCCCGCCATGGCAGTCTCAATAAACACCCCACAGCTGACTCCAGAACAGCCAGCAACAGAGAAATTCTGGCAGTTTTCATCTCTCCAGACACAGACGTTTCGCAAAGCACATGGGACTTAATTCAATACCAGACCATTCAATACCAGATCACCCCCAAATACTTCACATTACAAGACGGATGGCTTGCAACAATGCATTGTCACTGAGAAAATGCTATCCCCACCCGTTCCTTGCAACTACCAATCAGATTTGCGTGATCAGTGGCTGCCAGCATGGCTTAAATAAACTACAGTGACTTAAGGAGCATGTTGACTGCCACTGTGAATATTCAAGCTACAGCTTATTGTATCATGTAATCCTAGGTAGGGTGGTGCATTATCACGTTAATGGGCTAACCAGAAACTGGGCTGTCCATGTGACATGGCTTGACGATTCACAAAAGTATCTGGAATGCATTGCAAGCTCCTGTGGCTTATTTAAGCCACATTGCTGGCAGCCAGTCATGCAAACTGACCTCCTGTGAAGACTGCAACTAAATTCAGAGGAAACATGGAATTCTGAGAAGGGAGATGGTGTCAGTGCCCCTGATCATCAAAATCTGCTGGTGCTACATCCCTGCAGGCCCTGGTTCCACTACCCCACTGCAGACCAACTGGACAGAGGGCGCCAGCGATTTCAGCTCAAAGGAAACATGCCCCCAAGCCAGCTTTTGCATCCCAACCTGCAAAACAGTGCTACAGCACCCCCTGCCTCCAGCAACGGCAATGCAGACAGCAACAGCCCCGTTATTCCCCCCATGCAACCCTACTGGCAAATGTTTGGGTCCTCTTCTCACCTGCTCACAACTACTGTGGAGCACAACACACAGAGGGAAGGAAGGATGGCTCCAGAGCACAGCAGCCACATAGTTCCCTGGGGAGAGGCTTGAGGGCAGGGGACACAGCCTGCTGGGGATAAGGGTTCAAGACCCAGCTTGCGGGGTGGGGACTCTTAACAAGCAGCGTTCCTTGAGGCACAAGCTCCATTTTAGAAACGCCTTCACCTGCTGCATAGCCAGCTGCTTTCTTGTCCTGCAGGAACTGGTTTGTTGCTCTGGCGCCACACAGCTGCCTGGTTTTTTGGACTCTGCTTCTGGTGGTAGCTCTGGGAACTGTCTTGATGAGGGTCTGTGCATTAAAATTTACCATCACACCACTGAGCTCTAGACAATGCCATGCCTTCTCCTTGTAAACCTCCTGTGTTTTCTAGCCTCTTCCTCTACTTTTTTTCTTACCATAGAAAATCAATGGACAGCACATTGGAAAAGCTGCTTGGTGTAGTGCTTGAAGCTGCCCGTCTGGACAGACCATCTTTCAACTGCCTAACATCAGCAAGTCCAGCTCTTGCTTTCTTGGCTGATGTCACAATGTGGTCAAACAGGCAAGCATTCTGCTGGGACAGGCCTGCCTTTCAGCTGCCTGCAGCAGGGGGCACTTGCAGAAAGGAGAGGCCCCCATAGACAACCAAATCCAGGAACTGCAAAGGACATGGGGGGGGCCCAGCCCCACCCAGAATAATGATCCAGGATTCTGTGGCCCAAAAAACATCCCTCTTCCAAGGCCTTATAAGATGCCCTTGAGGCCCATTCAGGTGCAGCCATGATCACTTACCCGTCAGGTGAGTGCTCAGCTGCTCAGGCTTGTTCGTTGGGGACTCCATTGGAAGCAAAGAATCTCCACCAATCTTCCTCACCCTGGTGGCCTCTGAAAATTGTAGTCCAATGCATCTGGAGAGCACCAAGTTGGAAGGCTGGCCTAGGAAGATGTTGGGTTTCATGGAGTTGTGTCCCAAAACGAAGGGAAAGGCTTGGATGAGGAGTTTTGTTCATCCTGGCAAGCTAATTGATGTTTGAAGACTGGAAGCCAGTTTTCCTCAGATCAGATATGTTAATTGATCTGAGAAGCAGAAGTGGATATGGTGTCTCCTTCCATGGAAGCGAAGGGCTCAACTCACATGCTCACGTCCCTTGCTAGCCTGGCATGTATTTGCTGTGGCTGGGATTGCAGAATCTGTCAAGAGGAAGTTAAAATCCATAGCCTACTGGTGCCTTTCCTCTCTATGGTTTTAAGGGAGATAATTTAGTGCCTGCATGTGTGTCCATGTGTGTGAAATGAGGTACACCGAAATCATTTATTTTAGTAACATCACTGAACATGTTTTGCAAAAGCCCAAGAAGGCAGGCACCTTCCTTAATAGGCTTGCAATCTGTAATTCAGCACTGTTGCTATGTAATTCAATGCAGGAAGAAAAGAGCTGAGGAAGGGGAGAATTTTGCAGACTCAACAGAAAGGAGAGCCCGGCCTTCCAGGTTCCCCAGGCACAGGTTTCCCATGTGTCTGCTCTCCATTTATTTCTCTTTTCTGTCTCTCAGGGAAGGCATGGAGGAGCGGCTCAGAGAACTCCCCCAAGCGCAGTGATGACCCAGATTTCAGTGGCTGGAACCCTTCACCCGGCAAACTGCAGAAGGTGCTGCGAAGGGCCGAGTATAATCTGTTAAGCAAAGCGCTGATCTTCGAGGGCAACTTTGTGCAGGTGACCAAGTGTTGCCCTCAGTTGGCCTCATAGCTCTACAGCAGGGAGAGACGGCTGCAATGCACCCTGTCCGATGAGCCAGTTCCCCATAGATGTGCAAAGCTGTCCACATCACATTGGCTGGTAAAGACTAAATCATGGTGGTGTGCAATCCATTTCTTCACTGCTTCCAACAGCTACTCTGTCCCATGCTTGTGCTACCTGCAATTAGTACAAACATCCCAGAGGCAGGCCATGATGTTTCCCTTGGCCTTCAGCATCGATGCATGCTTAAAGAAACAAAGGAGAGGGTGGCTTAGGGCTGGCTTCAAGGGTAGGCATTGCTGGGCACCTGCCAAGGTCCATACCCCAGGAGGGGCCAATGGACAGCAGCCTCATGGAGCTGCTGCTCCCCTTCGCCATTGCAGTCTTCTTGTTCAGCTGCCTTTTGCTCTGGACCAGAGAGTGCTGATGGTGAGGAGGAGGAGCCGTAGATGCTGCTGCCCTCTCACTCACGGGCTCGCTACCTATCAAGCAGTCAAGCAGTAGCAAAGGTGAGCAGGAGGACAGGGTGGAACAGCAGCTGGTGACCATGATGGTGGGAAGGCAGACATTCTGAGCTAGGGCGCCTGTTGGGGATGCCTTGTTTTAGAAACCTGCAGCTAGCACTATGCGGAGAGAATATTTAATTGACAGAGGAAAATTGCTCAGTGGCTGAGCACCTGCTTTGATGCAGGAGCTCTCAGGGTTCAGTCTTTGGCATCTTCAGTTACACAGGACCAGGGAGCAGGTGAGGGGAGCTGTTCCTCAATGGAGTAGAAAGCTTGGGGGCCTAAATGGGCCAGTAGCTCAACCCAGGAAGAGGCAGCTTGATGTGCTCATATATGAGAGGGGGAAGAAGCAGAGAGAGGAACAGCTGGTTGGAAAGAATCTCTCTCTCTCTTTCTCTCTCTCTCTCTCTCTCTCCTAAGAATAAGTTTTATTCTTAATATACCTAACAAAAAGAAACTAAGAAGCATCAATCATCGAAAAATCAGACATCGAAAAACATCAGACCTACTGGGTCAGCCCCCCACATTTTTTCTTTTTATGTTAAACTATAAACATATTTAAGTCTATGCATAGTCCTGTTTCTCTAGCCAATAATAAAAAGAATCCCAGGCTTGATTGGTTGCCATGCCTGATGTTGGACAACCAGTTGCATCCACACTAGTTTGAGACTCTTTTCTGTTGCCACCACTTCTGTTCCATTCCTGAAAGACTCCTCACTCTTTCTCCTCCACACCCAGGTGACCAAGAGGGGCGAATGCATTGGCATCCACAATCACCCCAATATTGTTGTCATGGGCATACTGGCTAGGAAACCCAGCATGCTACTTCCAGACTTGATGATCATTGGCCGGGAAAAACAAAGGATAGGAGCAAAATACCCCAAGCTGAAAGAGCTGGAAATAACGCGGTAAGACTGGTGCAGTACCCAGCTCTACCCCCTGCCATGCTACCCCATATTTTCCTGGGAAAAAACCTCCATCAAAATGCCGGCATGTGTGCCTGAAGGAGTAGGCCAATGATACCTCCCAACAATGCTGGGTTTCCTAGATTGAACCCCTTCTCTTCCCTCTGCACAGGTTGATCCCTCTTCAGCTGGTGGAGATTTTTGTTCACAACTTGGAACAGCGGCAGCTGAAAGTGCAGATCGTGACTGGGCAAAAATACTACCTGCAGCTCTATGCCCCCGAGAAGGAAGCGGACTTCCTCTTTGATCGCTGGCTGCGCCTCATCTACCTACTGCATGTGGCCAAGGGCAAGATAAATGCACCGCCAAGCATTGCCTCTAAGGAATCTGGAGTTCACACCATATGGAAGACTGCGAGCTTGCGCACTGTGCCCAGGAAAGTGAGCATCATCGTAGCTAAGTGCAGGACTGAGCTTTCTAAATTGGGGTGATACAGAATTAACTCAGGGCAGAGAGTCATTCAGGAGCCTTTCTTCTTTACCCTTCCCTATGTCAGGACCTATCCATCCATTTTTCCATCTCTCTGCCCAGTTTTTGCCCTTCCCACCACTGTTCAAGATGCTGTACTTAGCCCTTTGTATTTGGTGAGTTTGCAGATGTTCATCCATCGTACTGCAGCCTCTGCCTGACTTGCTCTGTGTTCTTCCAGCAACACTGGCTACCAGCCATCATGAATAAAGGGTCCACTGGGCAGCTGAAGGAGCAGCTACAGCAGGCCAGTCCCTCCAGGGAGAAGTCAAGATCCATGTATGTACTTCTGATATTTCTAGCAGTGTGGGAGGAATGATCCAGAAGATGCTTAGGGTGGATCATGGCTGTGCCCCAACTTTCCTGCAACTTATTGCAGGGATACGGTAGAGAGAATAGGGCAACTGTCCCCTATCAGTGTCATATGAGAACTACCCTGTCCCCAGCTGATTTTAGCTTTGAAAAAGAGTGGGACAGAGTAGTTGCCATGTAGACTATATTGCTTTTAAGATCACACTTTTGGGGTTGTAAGCTATTCTGTGAATAACCCACGGTGGGTTGATTGTTTGCTGAACAACTCATGGCGTGCCCAATGATTGAGCTCACCATGGCTTGTTCTTCCCCTCCTTACCATGTCATCTTCCAGCTGATATTGTAGTGTCCTTTGCCTCTATCTATCTATCTATCTATCTATCTATCTATCTATCTTGTCTCCTCCTCTGCACTCCAATTGCTATCCCTTTCCATTTGCTAACATTTTTATTTTTCAGAGCCTAAAAATAGTGCAGTTGGGATTTTTTTTCTTCAGCACCTGAAAATTAAGTTTTTAAATATCTCCATTGTACTGGGATGGATGGATAGATAGATTCCCCTTTCTAGAGAAGGTAGAGTATCAAGGAAGTGTTCAGAAGGTAAAGGGCTTTTGGAACTGTTGACTGGGCTTTAAAAATTGGGAGAATCACATTGCTAAGGGGGAGATACTGTCCCCTTGACTTTGGTGCAGCATCTATTGTTGCTGTTTCCAAATGCTTTTCAGTTGCCTGTTAGGCACTTGGCCCCTGACGAATGTGCACAAATTAGCCTACATGCAGTCTCACCCTGTCCTCCTTTTCAGAGCTGAAATAGGCAAGGAATTGACCAGACAAGACTACTCATAATAGACAGCTGCAAGTGCGACTTGTACACCTGTGAAAGACCAACACCAATACTAATGCCAACAAATTATGACCCCCAATTATACATTTTTGAGAGCCCTACAAATAAAAAGCCAAGGAATGAGTGATGGTCCTTCCAAAGTACCATTCTAGTAGTGGATGGAAGGGCAGTCATTGGCAAGATTGCAAAAGCAAGTGGCCAGGGGGTTGCTACTTTTGCCTAGTCAGCCATTCTCAACGACCCATAATAGAATTGCCTTGCCAGGTTCAGACAGCACAGATCATGAGTAAGCATAACCCTAAAACAAGTCATGGGTCCTCAGGGTGGCTTGTTTGTGCAAATTAAAAAACCCTGCTGAATTGACTGGGTTCAGATGACACAACAAGCCACCATGGCTGTTTACCTATCACGGGTTCTCATGTTGTACAAATCAGATCAGTATTGACAAAACTGGGTGAGATGAACCAATGAACTTGACTCAAGTGACTGGAGGGGATTCATGGAAGCAACATTATCTCCCCTCTCTCCCATGATTGTGTGAACCAGGCAGTTTGCTATATTCCCAAGACAGCCCTAATTTGAACTGTTGATTACACATCATCAACCATTATGTTTTTTCTCTTTAACCAAGACAACATATGACATTTCAGCTTTTAAATTGGTGAAGGACAAGCCACTAAATGAATGCATGCATTTAACAGGCAGAGCTTGGACCATTCATCAAAGAGTAGGGTGAGGGTTAGTTCGTGACCTTTTCTATGGGAATTTTAAAAAATGTCTTTATTTTCATCTGTGAAATGATCCGAGATGTTTCCCCACATCCCAAAAATGAAAAAGTAATTAATTTCTACCCAATTGTAAAACTGGGAAGCGAGAATATCACATTGACAATACATACAGCAAATACATTTAGGGAGATGATTTACAGCGTGTTAAAACAAGGACAGCACATGTGGTTAGGAAGGACTCTTGCTGCCTCTCAGTTTCCCCAGAGCTAACAGAGTTGTGTCAGCATATTGCAGGATGGGAATTATTTTGGTCAAGTTCTTATCCAAGCTTTTCTGTTCCAGGCAACGTGATACTGCTTCAAATCAAAGCAACTTAAAATCAGGTAGGGATGGAAGCAATGAAGGCAGGGCCAGGCTCAGCTTAAACCTCAGCCCCATTCTGCATTAGGAGTTGGGCATTCAGGAAGGAAAACTTCCACCAGCCAAATGCTGCTTTATGGTGCCTCCACTTCTCAAATATTGGGGTGACCCAGCAGTGAGATGCTTATACATCTGTGGGCCTGAGGATGAAATAGTTGGGGCAGAAGATGCACCCTCCACCCATCCCAGACCCACATGTTTTTCATCACCCAACGTATGCTTATGCTGATCCATTCCTTCCTTTCCTTTTTATTTCAGAAGGTTTCACTGGATCCTCATTTTACTCATCTCAAGGATTCCCTGGAACCTCACCAAGTGACGTAAGGATAGAAAACAGCCTGTTCTTTTTCTTCTCTGGGCTGGCTCTAGAGATCTTGTTACCCTCTAGAAAAGCCAGTGCCTGGAGCTGGCATGCCTTGGAGACACATGGCTCAGATTTTCCCAGGGTGCTAGTGCGCAGCTGGTTTTGGCTTTGCCCTGGCTCTTTTGGGGGAGGTCATGTGCTCAGGAAGTGTGTGGAAGAGGATGAGAGAAAAGTGATAAGCTTGAAGACAGAGAAGGGGAAGAATTAATGGTTCTAGATGCCAACCTCTGGGGAACAACCGAATTCTCAGCATCTTCAACAAGCTACAGTTCCCAGGATTCTTTCAGGGTAGTCATGGCCATTGCATACGTATAAAACTGACAGATTGGCAAAGAAGATATACTCTGATGGTGTAGGTAGAAAGCTAGAGGCTGAAAAAGGAGCTGAATTATAGTTTGTCACGAGACAGGCTTTCCACATTTAGGACAAATTATTGGTTTTCTATTCCAAAGAATAGGATGGGGAAACCCATGGCCCTCCAGGTGTTGTAGAAATGGGACTGCCCCCATCTTTGACCACTGGCCATGCTGGCAGGTCGGGGAAGGGTGAGTTGTCCCACCAGAAAGGTGGGAGGCAGTGGATGGGGCTCTGGGAACCATCTGTCTGACTTTGTGGGTCCAAAAAGGAGGACTTTTGAATCCCAGAGAAATAATTAGGTCAAGCCTTCCTGGAGAACAGTATTCATCTTCCATTGCCTACTGGGAAGCTGCTCCCCACATATGCCATTCTACTGAATCTTTCTTCCTTTACAGGGGCCCACTTACACAGATCAATCTGTGTATTCAGTTCCAAGGAGCCTAAATTGGAAAACATCTAAGCAGCCAGTAGCATCCCAGACTGACCCTTCCAGTTCTGGAAGGTCTCAGACTCAGAAGCAGTCCCTATCAAAACAGACTTCTCTCCATTCCTCACCACAAGCTCATGTTTCAATGGACATAGAACCTTCTCAAGCAGCTGGTTGCTCCACACCAGTGAGTCAGATTAACACCAGAGGACCTGATCAAGCAAGGAATGTGGGACATCCCTATGCCACAAGAGAAACCCCCACACTGGTAACATCATCTGAATCTGAGCCTGCTGCTATCAAACTGCAAAAGAGTAAAAAATCCAGTGCTTTGGTACAAAGCACATCCAAGAGGAGCTCTGAGCTCCACAGGGAGAAGGATGCTGCCACCAAGCAGCCAAGCAAAAGTCCCAGCTCTTCAGAGCCCATCAGTCCTCTGTCACAAGGAAGAGAAGGCAAGGCCTCCCGAAGCCTAGCAGCTAAGCAGAGCCAGCCCACATCCAGACCAGCTTCTATAGGAGTACCATCAGCCAGCCCTCCCCCGAGATCCCGCATCTCAGTAGCTGCTGGTCCTTCTGAGGCAGGTGCCGTGTCACCAGCAGCTGGCCGATCCAGACCAGCCAGCCGGGAAGCTCATGTGGTTTCAGAGAAATATGGGACCTCAGTCTCTCCTTCTAAGATAGAAAACCAGGGCCAGAACAGTGACCCATATTCAAAGACATCCAGAATACCGCGTATCAGGCCCCGTTCATCTTCGAGCCCCTCCCCAGACTCCACATCTCGGAATTTGTCACAGAAGGGAAAGGAACCTGTGATGCAAGTCCGCAGGACAACAGCATCAGTAGGAGTGGGGCCTTCTCAATCAGGTTGGAAGAATGTGGCAGTGGGCCCCTCCAAACTGGCTAGCCTAGTTTCAAAGAGGTCCAAAAAGCAAACATCAGGAACAGACAAACAAAGTGAAGCGAAAACAAAATCCCATGGAGGGACAAGTAAGGAACCATCCAGGTATGCTGAGAAAATGGGCTAACAAGAATTTGGCTTAAGAAGTGAGGTCTTAGCAATCTGGAATGGGCAAAGCACAAGACCCCAGCTTGTGAACCGCCTTTGAAGTCAGGCAGGATGTTTACACAATGGGGTCAAGAAGTGGTGGATAATAATCCTTGACAAGTGCAAGCAGCTCCAAATTAAATGATGGAGGTGTGATTTTTTTCATTTATTTATTCATAGCAGTGGAGGAATGATCTGCAGATTCCACAGGGACTTGGACTCCCAGGATTGGTCTCCATTGGCTGTATCTTTGGACCTGGGTCTTTCAATGATCTCCAGGCTAGGAAAAACTGCATTTGCTTCAGAAGTAGTGTCTGATCTGCCCTCCACCCTGCTGTCCATAAACACTTGTTGAAATAGGGGTACAGGGGTCTTGATGATCTATGTTGCATGTGATTCTCCTAAATTATCTGGCTTTTTACCCACGTGTGCTTCACTTCCTGGTCTTTCCAACCACTCCCTTGCCTGGATCTTTCTGCCTGAGTTTTTTTCCCTGAAATCAAATTCCCTTCTCCTCCTTTTGCAAACATCTCTTTTTCTAAGATGGGCATCCTTAGGAGACAGGATCCTTTAAAGACAAACGCATACACACAGATTTAGAGCACATATAGATTAGCATATGTTTTTGTTTTGCCTATGTTGTCTCAGTCACTGTTGGTCATTGTTCCAAATGCCAGTTTATTTTAATCAGGGGCAGCTGGAAGCTAAGTATTATGGAAAAGGTATATATGATCATATACAGGTTATGCTTATTGCTCTCTTGAACCATCTGAATTCGAATGAGTCAGTGAGCATGTTTTGCCTATTTCTGCCATATTCTTCTTTTCAAAAAATAATGCTCCCAAAGCAATATTTTTACAACCAGATTACGGTATCTTGAATGATGGCATTTGATATCTCAGTAGCTGAAAAAGCACTGTGCCTTTGGGCTTTACTTGCTTTCTTACCATTTTCAAAGGTCATCAAAGGCTAAACCAACATGCTGTGGGATCCGGGAACATCACTGCATCTGTAGGCTCTTTGTGTAACCTATTCATGTTCATTAGAACCCGTAAGAGAAAAACACAAGCAGGGCTGTCCATATGAAGGTCTAGATAGAAACACAAGAACAAAGTGAGTCAGAAGGATGGTCTCCTGGGACATCTAGTCTGACCCCCAGCTCCAGCCAGCTCCCTCATGTAATCCCTGACATGTGGTTGTCCAATCTTTGCTTGAACACCCTCTCTGCTGATATACAATCAGAAATTACCCTATGTGGGCAGGGGCTGTCTTCAGAGTTCCATGATGTAGGTTCATGGAGTCTTGTATAATCTCAAATCCCCTTAGTAATGATGCCAGCATATTTTCTTGTCTCCTGCATATCCATGTGGAGTAGGAACATGCTTTTTCCATTAAAAGCATTGATTCCTGAGATTCCAAGCAGGATCTGTAGGTCATTTAGGCTATCATTATGACTTTGAAATTAAAAATCAGTACCTGTGTCTTTAATTTCTTTAACAAATTAAGTGAATTTATCCACTGTTATCTTACCAGCAGCCAGATGTCTGAGTCCAGGAGCAAACTGAAAAAGGCTCTGAGTACAGGTAAGGCAGAATTCCAGTTAAATTACCATTATGGGTCCATCATTCTCTCCAGAGCAAGTGTTTGAAAAAGCTGTGTACCTGATACTTTCCTATTTGCTTTGCAGCCAAACAAAAAAGCAGCATTACTTTCGTGACCATCTTTAGCATCCTGTCCTCATCCGTGGAGGCAATGAAACACTCAAAGAGCAGAGATGATGCTAAGGTACTGGGCCAGGGCAAAGGGTTGCAGGGAGGGACACATCTGCACAGGCCACCTTTGGGAGGTGGAGGAGATACTTTTAAGGTTCATCTGATTGCCACATGCTTCCTGTGCAATAAAGGTGAGAGGCATATGAAGAATGCTTTTTGTCTATAAGCCAAATGGTACTCATACATCTAATATTCATTAGAAAGAGAGGCTTGTGAGTTGGAGCTTGCACACAATGCTAACCTATGGTATAGGTTGTTGAATTAGGGTTATTAAGTTGGGCAAACCCAGCTGCACTAAAAATGATGCTTTGTTAAGCAGAAATAACCCAGGAAGAGCATTGATGCTTTGTTTTTTTATTGTGAACACTGTATTGTTTAAACCATGGGTTGTTATGTGCATATTCATTGGCTGAGGATGATGGGAGTTTCAGTCCAACACATCTGAAGGGTACCAGAGTAGGAAATGCTGCTTTAGGAGATGCCTCACAGGCATGACACTCTGCAATATTTCTGCATTATTTACAATTAACACAGATTGCTCATAGATGGATGCATATCTTAATCCAACAGACTCCTGGTGTCCAGTGCTGCCACATCAGGTCTCTACCTCCTTCCCAATACTGTTAACTTTTCCAGAGTTCAGAAACTGACTGTGGAGGCTGCCAGTTCAATGTCAGTGGGGTGATATATCCATTCTGGGATGTAGTCTGAACTTTAAGGGGCTATTCATGGAACCCCACTCCCACCTCAAACAGGTTCTTTAAAGTTCAGTCTGAAACTTGGAGTGGATACACTGCACTAGTGATATCGGAATCATTAGCCACTGTTGGAAACTAAGCTTTGCATCTGATATCAGTTTGACCCCCAAACTGCAGTCTGCTTTTTACAGTCACCTAGATAACATGGTTATTAGCTAAGTGAGGAATGGCGTACTGGTTAGTGTTTTTTGCCCAACTCAAGTATTTCTAGAAACAGGAGCATTTTGCCTGTAGTTTACCCAATAAGTCGGTGCTATTTATCTAACAAAGGAGATACTTGCCAAGGCCTTTACAATAATCTTCAATGGACCTGTTGGTGCCATTCAGCTTCTGCCCAAACTCAAAAGAAACACTGAGTGAAAAGAGACCATAGAAGTCATCCATTTCAACCCCATGTTATAGCCATGTACTTGCAGACATTAGCAGGTCTATTAGAAACCCTTTGCCTCTAAGGAAGACCTTGCGTTGAAATGCATTGGGCAATCATCACAAAATAAGTCATTACTTTTCAAGCATCACTGTGAAATTTATTTATTTATTTATTTATTTAGAAGGCTTCTATGCCTATGAAATCTATCTCATTCTATGTTCTTTTGGTTTTTTGGTGTGTTCTCTCTCTTGCTCTCTTTCTGCTTTCCTGCAGCATGTGGCTGCCAAGCCTTCCAAACGTGTAACAATCTCTGGTGTGATTGGCCCATCAGGAAAAAATGTCCTGCAAGATGATGAGGAGGAGGGAAATCCCGAAGGCAGCACTCTGAACATGGATGTAGGCACCAGTACATCTGCTATGAGGGGGTTGGAGACAGAAGAGCACTCATCTTCAAAGGTCTACTCTTCCATGGCCAAAGGAGTTCCTGGAGGAAGAACTCCTGGAGCTCTGGGTGGCATTTCAGAAACAGCAGAACACTTGAGGTCAGGTAGCCGGACCACTGCCAAGGAGCCTTCTGTGGCAAGCACAACTTTTCGGGAGCCCAGAGAAACCAGACCCACAGGACATCCCAGCATATCTCCCTTGGGGAATCAAGATGTAGCTAAAAGGTCTTTAGTAGTATCAAAATCCTCTGAGAAATCTAGACTCTCCCCTGTCCCTTCTAAGCCAGGCAGCAAAGTACCCCAAATGAAACCGACCAGTCCAGGGCCCTCCAAAAATCTCCCAACCTCCAGGGGAGCCCTTAGAAAAACAGATGTGGCTACCTCCCCTCCAAGATCAAAGATATCTGTGGGTGTGGGACGCTCAGCAGTAGACATGGTCTCTGTAGCAGTTGGTCCCTCTGTCCCTGACAACAGGAGCAGAGTCTTGAAGCAGGGAGAGTCCAGTGCGCTGCCTCCACAGAGGAGCCGAACAGCTGAGGCTCAGAGGTCAGGCTCCCAGTCTGTGGCAGTATCCAGCCTTCTTCCCAAATCCCCCATTTCGATGGGTGTGGGTTGCTCCACAGCAGAAACCAAATCTGTGGGAGTGGGGCACTCAGCCATGGACACATTTTCCAAAGCTGCTGGTCCTCCCATGCCAGCAAGTTCTCCCCATGTTGCCATGGGTGCGGCAGACACGGTTTCTGAAGCAGCTGTTGTGAAGATGGAAGGCAAGTCTGTAGCCAAGATGAAGAAACAGAAGAAACCACAGAAACCCAGAAAAGCTACTGCCCCTAAACTTCCCAGTGGACCTGACCAACAAGAACACAGAGAGACATCTCACAGGTTTGGGTTATAGGAGAGAGCAATAGGAATTGCAATAAGTAGGAAAAGCTAACACATTTGGGCCTTTTTCAGATTAGGGAAAAAGCAATGGGGAAGGGAATAGGATATGATAGAAATCTATTAAACTATTCATGGGGTGAAGAAGATGGGCAGATAGAAGTTTTTCTTCTGCTCCCATAATGTTAAAATTCAGAATCACCCACTAGAAATTGATTAGCAGTAGACTCATGGTGAACAAATGAAAATACTTCTTCACACAGCAGATAATTTATAGGATTTGCTGTCACAAAATGTCGTGGTATCTACTACCTTAGAAGTCATTAAAAGGGGCTTTTGTTAGACAAATTAATGAAAGAAGACCGGCCTATTAGTGGATAATGATAGTGATGGTTCCATGCCATTTCTATGGAACCTCCATGTCCAAAGGCAGTACACTACTGCATTCCAATTGATGGGAATCAAGAAGAGAAGCGGGCTGGGGCCATTTTGTCTTGCTTGTGAGCTTCCCAGGAGGCTGGCCATAGTATAGATGACTCAGTGCAGCCGAGGGTTGCTCTTCCTGCATATGTTCACCAAGGCTGAGATGACTGTTTCCCCAAATCTGAAATTCAATGCATATTCCAAATTTGAATCTTCAAATATCATTTTTGACATTCAGGTAAGGGATTATTTTAAAAAAGAACGAAATCTTAAATTGCTGAAGTTTATAGAAGTAATGCTAAGTATAGACTTGCTAAATGCAATACTGGAAAAGGTTTTCACATAATGCTAAGACAGGGATGGGCTGGTTCACCCTGATGTTGGATTGATATGGCTAATGGTAAGGGATGGTGGAGTTGCAGGCAACCTAACAACATCTAGAAGACCACAAGTTGCTCACCTCTGCTCTAAAACTTCAGCATTATGTGCACAACCAGAAAGGAGCTCAAATAAAACCTCAGATGGGTATATTCTTCTCCTTCACTTCCCTTATTCAGTTTCAATTTAATGGACTCCTCTGTCATTACACATTAACCCTACTTATTACACACTAACTCCAGCCAGTTGCGAAACAAGCCAACTACAAACTGTGAAAGGACTGCATAGGGGCCTGGCATTGCCTATAGGATGCTTTGTGCTTATACACTAAAATATAGTTTAATGTTATGTTTAGACATTGTGTGTCTACAATTGGAGTGCTATAATCAGCAGCAGAACTCCTAAATTAGAAATATGTAGTAGGAAGCTGAGTCTCTCATACTTAGTCTAAAGCAAGCACACACCCTTTGAAGTAGATTGAGACCACTGCAAAGTAAGTATAGTTTAAATCTACCTTCCCCCACCCACCACCTGTTTTCTGATGTTTGCCCACCCAGTGCATGGGGATGGAAACGGAGGGGCAGGGGTAGCCTCCATTGGCACCAACCAAGGTTTTTATTTTTTTATTTTTATGCATTCCCCCTTCCTGTGGATTGGGAGCACTTGTAAGAAAATAAGGAGGTTGTAGGGGAAGATTTAAAGATCTCCTGCACTTGTATCACAGTCCAAATCATCTTCAACTTACTTTAGAGTAAGAAAATAGCAGAGTCAGGTGGTTTGACCTTCCATTAAGGGCCAATCCAAGAGAAAGTGAACACAATTTCTTTTTGCATCTTCCATTTATTTCAATGGAGCTTGTGCAGAAGATTTTTCCAGCAGATTCTGTCTTTAGCAATGTATTCTAGGGAAAACAAGTGTAAGACTTAGTCCCAGGGCAAAAAGGATGGTAGGATGGAGCTGCATATCATTTGCAAAGCTGCCTGTAAGGACATGGAAACATAAAAATGGAGCTGGTTCTAACCCATTTCTTGTTAGGTTCCCCCTTCTGTACTGATGGTTCACTGTTACTGTTTGTAAACACATTACTCCAGATGTTCTGGTTTGTTTCTAGGCAAAAAGTGCTGGGCTTGATTTTTTTAAACCCTAAATTATGCCAGGCCCCTTGATCCCTAGAGGACTACTTTCTCCCACGTGAACCTGCCTGTCAGTTGAAATCCCCTCATGAGGTCCTCCCCTGAAAGCTCTACCAAGTAGAGGGTCTTCTTGTGTGACAGCAGCCCAGTTTTTATTCTGTTTCCCACGCTTTTAAGGTCTGGGATCTTTGTTGTGTCTACTTTTATCAAAATGTGTGTCTGAAAGGAAAGATGGTCTGGCTTTGATTTTTGCTTGATAAAATTTGTATTTGCTTTGTAAGCTGCCTTGAATATTTTTGTTGTAGAAAGTGGGCTAGAAATACCTTAAACAGAAAATGTGATCTGAAGTGTTGTCCTTCCTTGCTTTTGTTTCCAGAAGTCAGAAATGAGATGGCTCAAAAAGACCCTGTCTTGATGGAGTCCACAGTGTCTTAGCCCAATATACACAGAGGCCAGTTTCTGAAGCGATCCGGAGCTGCCATATGAGAGAAAAAGGAGAAACTCATTTCTATAAATATGCCAAGGAACAAAGAATATTTTAATTAAAAATTAACAAGAAATAATGAGCATGTCTTTTGTTTAATTTCCTAGTTGGGCACAAACTCAATCAGAGTATACTGATGGTTGATATGTAATTTCAATCTGTAAGATGTCAGAGTTGGGAGGAAGAATTTGATTTGTTAGACACCAGGAAACATTTTGGGACAAGCTGAGCTTTTACAAAGGGATGGGCTTCACTTGAACCAAAATGAAAGCTGCCTGCCTTCCTGCCTACTTACTTGTCTGCCTATCATCAATCTGTCCTCCCATCCATCCCTCTTATTGCAGAACATCTTTATAATTGCCTCCCTAGGGAAAGTGGAGAAGAGCTAGGGAGTATCCATTCTGGGATGAATCTTTCTAAGTAATGAGGGTGAAAATATATTTGATTGTTCAGATAGGGCACACTAATACATTGAAGATGCAATATTATGTATGTTTAGGTAGACAAAAGGCCTACAAGTCCCACCAGACCCCATCCAGACTTTTGCTTGTCTAAACATGAGTAGGATTTCCCCTTAAAAATGATAACTGTATAAACTGGAAATTAAGAAAATAAATTATCTATATTAATGAAACAGGAATACAATACAAATTAAGGTGGAAGAAAATGGGTTCTTTAAAAAAAAAAGCAGAACTAGATTATTTTTGCTCTTTCCCCTTCCCCTTTATAGATATGTAGCTCTCAACCAGTTATCCAACACCAAACTGGCCTCTGACTCAAAGAAATTTACCACCACTGAGCTCAAACTATATAATGGGTATACCACATTAACTAAGTGTTCCCAGTGTCGTGTTTGTGGGGCATCAATGTAGCCATGAACATTGGTTGATTTTATTTGATTTTTTAAATTAACATTTTTAACTGGGAGGCTGGCAATTTCAAAGTTCAGTTCTGTCCTCCAGCACCATCTATATTTGGGTTCAGAAGCTCAGCCCTGCCTTTGCCTTGTGTATAGGTTCTCGCACATGTTACTTTTCTTTTACTTGTGCCATTCCATCCTTCTGGGAAATTAGTGTTTTGTCATCAACCATACCCACCATGGTAACCATTGTATGAACTAGCAAGCCTTGGCAGCCATTTTGTGAGAAAACCCATAATGTTCACAAACTTCCAGGCATGCATTCTTCTCCAAAAAGACTGGGGACTGTTACCGGACTGAGCCAGTCAACAGCTGGGGCAAACCCAGGTGGACCCCAGACCCGAGCCAAACAGAGCCTGAGACGAGACTTAGAGCCAAAATCAGCTTTATTCTAGTGCACTATAGAATAAAGGGAGACAAAAGGGGTCTCCCTTTCAGCCCAAAGCAGTGTCTCGAAAGTTGCACCCCAGTACATGTGTTTTATACCCTAGTTACCTATTAGGTCACCTAATAACACATACATTGATACATCAATACATATTATAATTGCTTTTATTTATTGTTTGTAAGCCGCCCCAAGGCTTCGGCGAATGGGGCGGCATAAAAATGTTTTAATAAATAAATAAATAAATAAATAAATAAATAAATAAATAAAGTATGCACACCCTCCCGTGCTGGAGAAAGAGTCCTTTCTTCTGTCAAAGACCAGACATTTCCCATGTCTATTTCTTATCCGCTCGAGATTCACACAGGCTTGCCATGTTCTTACTCCCTGCACATTTGCAACTTTCATGGAAGCTAGAACCAGTTTCCACTGTCCCTTTGATTACTGTATTCGAGGTCAGGCTAGCGTGTTAGCTGTGGGTTACACAAAGTTCATTTTGTTCGTATCTGCCCTCCCTTCTGGGACAGTATAACTGTGGTGTTTTTACTATGTGGCCTTCCTCTGGCAAACTACTTTTGGGGCCTTTCTCTGGCCAATTACTTATGGGGTGTTTTGGGGTGCTGCAATTGGTAACAGGGACCATTGATGGAAAGTACAAAGCAACTCTAGGGAAATATTTTAAAAATTTGGGAAAGAGTGGAAAAGTTAACAGATTTACTTTCCTCAGGATATATTCAGCTGTGGATACCTCAATACAAAATGTGCATGTCACATATCAGTTAAAAATAGCACATTCATGCTTAAATTGTGGTTTTCCTCAGAAAAATGTGTACATATGGAGACCAATAGTTGACTGTTACCTACTTCTGCGTATTTCAACAGAAATACACACCCTCATCACACCCTCCCTGCCTTAAACCTGTGTACACTATTCTGTGAGGGATACTTCCAAACAAAACATCAGTCCTAATGATTTTTAAGGCAATAATATTTATTGATTTGCCAAACTCACTAGAGTTATACTAGGGTTCCCTGCTCTAAAATGACTAAATTTGGCAAAATTCCCAACATAACTGGGAATTTTAAAGTGGAGAAACCCCAGATAATAATTATAAAATGAAATCAGGAAAATTCCATGCACACATTTCAAATTCTTCTTTGCTCCTGTTCAGGTCTAGATGGGAGTAAACATTACTTTCTAGTTTCCTGTGGCAAATATGGCAATGTTTTGCCCTGGCTGGGGGATCAATTTTCATAATCAATTCCCATCATTTTCCCCTCTGCCCACTTCCGGAGGGTTCTGTGACAGTTAGTCACTCTCAACTGGTGACCAGGGAAGTATCTGCTTCCTGATTTATTCATTTATTGCATTTTAGGTAATTACATTGGCTTAGGGGCCTTCCTTTAGTGCTCCCGTTCAGTTCTGGAAGTTTATATGGTAGTTATTCAAAATGGGTACACAGACGTGGGAGAGGACAGTGTGGCGTAGTGGTTAGAGTGTTGTTCTGGGAGGGTCTGGGCTTTAATTCCATTCAGCTATGAACCTCACTGAGTGATTTTGGGCCAGTTATGGACTCTCAGCCTAACTATCTCACAGGTGGTGATTGTGAGGATAAAATGGAGGGGAGGAGAAACTTGTAAGCCATCTTGGGTTCCTTGCAAGAGGAGGAAAGGCAGGGTATCGAGGAATAATAATTTTCTAGAAAAGCTGCTGCTGCCAATCACAACCCAGATACCATTATCCTAGGGCTGCTTCTAGAAGGTTCTTTTTTAAAACAAACCCCCATCAAAGTGCCAGCCAAGAGTGCTTAATGTTCACTGAGAACTTTGACTGGCTAAGAGTCTTTGCCCTCCCATGATTCCCTTTTGTGTGTAAAAAAAATAAATAAAAATCCTGTTCATCGCAGATCTATATTGCAGACAGCTAAGGAATCCATTGTTTCCACTGAAGACTGCTGGAATGGTGTTTAACTTGACAGGTATGCTGCCCCTGATGTGTTTTTCACTGGTTAATTCTCACATTATCTTTTTAATTAAGATTTGGGGTTGGAGCCAGATTTACCTTAGATCAGTGGTGCTGGTGGAAGTGGACTTCCCTGCCACCTCCTTGCCATGGCATTCCCTCCAGTCGCCTGAACATGCTCATCCCTGCTGAAAGGGGTAAACTGTAGCTTGGGAAGAGAGGGATGCTCCAAAATGAAGCAAAGAGCCCTTCCTCTAGAGCAGGGGTGGGCAATTAATTTTCCTATGGAGCCACATGAGAAATTTGACAGTTGTTAAGGGCCGGACCAATACACTTACAGCTCTGCTCAATATATATCTCTATAAAAACAGTAAATGAAACATTACAATGATACAATGAAAATGTGGAGCACAGAACAACACTATTTAATGAATATTCACAAAAACATTAACATTACATGAAAAGCAGTAAATTCAATTCAATTTTACTTATATAGCGCAAATTTATAAAAGCAGTGCAGTTGTATTGCTTGCATCTATATTACAACGATATATATTTGCATTGACTTTTAATTTGCCAGTGACCTCATGCGGGCCAGTCAGGGTCAGCCATCGGGCTGGATGTGGCCCGCGGGCCGTACAATGCCCAGGTCTGCTCTAGAGGGTAGGCTCTTCTCTGGAGGAAAACATCTCTATTTTATTCAATAAGTACCTTCAAGTGTAAGTTGTCATAGGCTGCCCACTGAGGGACACAGGTTGTCTACTCCCAACCTACATTTGGCCTGGTGGCAGTTCAAACTAGTAGAGGCCACAGAAATGTTCCTCCTCCAAAATAAATAAAATAAAATAAAATAAAATAAAATAAAATAAAATAAAATAAAATAAAATATAGGCCATTAGGAAGTCATGCTGATTGTTTCATGCTAATCATGCTTAATAGGCTTTGGGGGTAACTGAAGGCAGAGTTTTTTCCTTTTTTAATGAGATTAGATGGGCAATAAGGTGAGGAGGAGCAGGCCGGGGAGGGTGTGATGAGACTGAGGCAGGGTTGCTGGGGGGTTGTCAGGGCTGAAGGCAAGTGCAGAAAGATGTGTCAATCTGGCTTCTAGTCCCCGCTCAGCCATGGAGCCAACTGGGTGACTTTGGGCCAGTCAAAGAGTCTCAGCCCAACCTCCCTCACAGGGTTGTTGTTGTGGGGATAAGGTTGAGAGCAGCAGGAGGAGAATGATGTAAGCCTCTTTGAATTTCTTGGAAAGAAAAAGGTGAGATAGAAATCTAATAAATAAAATCATAATAATAAAACGATAGTTGGGAGGTAGATGCAAGAAAATTAGATCAGGCAAATGGTGAGAGAAGGAAATGGGTAATGCCTCTTCCTCCTCTAGAACTGTAGCTCCTGTCTGATGACTCCCACATCCCATGGTTTGCTTATATCTTTTTTTTTTTTAAATGATAACAACATGCATGAAGTACACTTTCAGGTCTTTTGGTATTGACATTTAATTTGGGAGCCCAGAGAAATAGTGGGAGGCAGGCCAAAGAAGTGGTCACGCAGAAAAGGGCTAAGAGGGCCATGTGACAGGTGTGTGCATGTGTGAATAATGTGTGTGTGTGCTGTATGGTTGAGGGGTGGGTGTAATTGGGATGTTGCCATGAATCTGTAGGAGATGAGCAAAGGAAAAAGAATGGCTGTGAGGTGGTGAAGAAAAGTACACAGAAGGCAGCTTTTGTGGTTAGCAGTGAATGGCTGTCATAGGTAGTAGCTAGGTTGGTGGAGAACTTGTGGCCCTTCAAATGCTGTTGCAATCAGGGTCCCAGCATCCCATGACCATTGGCCATGATGGTTAATGCTGATGAGAGTTGGAGTCTAATATCTAGAGGACTGCAGGTTCCCCACCTCTGTGCTAGATATTGATGATTCATGAAAAGTAGCATAAGGACAAAGCCAAGGACAGTGTTAAGGAGAACAGAGCAGGAGATGTCACAAGGGAGGCACATGAGCACAATTTAAATTGCAGGATTCGAGAAAAAAGAGTTTGTGGAACTGAAGAAGATACCTTTTAGGCTAAAGACATTAGGAGGCAAAGTACCTGGAGGAGGGCTTTCTCTGCGGTGGCGCCCCGCCTATGGAATGCGCCCCCCAGAGAGGTCCACCTGGCACCGTTGTTATTTGTTTTTCAGTGTCAGGCTAAGACCTTTTTATTTCAACAATATTTTAATAATTTTTAACTTCAGCTTATAGATTTTAATCTGCAGCCAGGGTGGATCTGGATTTTATTTTATTATGTTTTGTTTTATTTTATTTTATGTAAGCCGTCCCGAGGCTATGCAATGCGACGCATACAAATACTCTAAATAAATAAATAAAGACACTGGATGGATTGGGCTGAAGACTAGGCTGAAACAATAGAAGGAATGCATTAACTCTGAAGTCCCTTTGGGGGCTGTTACAGCACAGAAACTGGTAATCGGAAGCTGTTTCTGAGCCAGAAGTCTTAAATTCTTTGGAAAGGAAGTAAGGGTGGCTGGAGTGGTGATTTGTTATTTGCACCTCTCATTCCTTATCTATCTTCCTTTCAGAAATGCAGAGTGGCTTGGCTTCTTCGGAAGACCTCAATAAGCTAAAGAAAAAACAGGGTGACTATCTCACGGCCCCATTTGACCCACGCTTTCCGAACAGCAACCAAACCCGTAACTGCTACCAGAACTATTTGGGTGGGTAACAGAGGGATGTGGACTGATTCATGCAAAGCACTGAACAGCTACTAAAGTATTTGGGAGAAGCTGGGTGATGCCATAATGTCTTTCTTGACCTCTACAGCTTTATATGATATTTACATTTAGCTAACAGCACAGAGCAGTAACAAAGTCCCAGTGTGAGAAGTGCTTGGGGGTTCTGTTGCTTGACGAGAGGGAAAAATTCCTGGGAACTGGGTGAAAGGAAGGAGGGTGGCCAGATGGCCTCTTTACAGAGGCCAGTTCTTTGTTTGAGCATGACTATGTTCAGACAACATGAAAACCCATGAGTGTGACAATGGGTTAAGTGTAGGTTTTGTTAAGCCATGGGTTGTTGTTGAAACATGTATGAACCCTTTGTGCTGTCTGAACCCATCTGTACTAAAAATCCATGGCTAATAACACAAGGTTGTTTGGATACAAGCTGTTCGCTATGTTTTGTTAACACGATAACCCATGTTTCCACAACAAGCCACAGCACAGCAATAGCTCACACTCAACCTTTGAATGTGGGCTACTGTGTCATTTGAACCCAGTCATTCTCTACTTGAAAAGCAGTCCTGTTCAATTCTGGTTTTAAAAAAAATACCAGCCATTGCCTATCAGGAGTTAAGTTCTGGCCAACAGGCTGAATGGTTCACCTGGTTATAATCTTCCATGCTATACTAAGTTGTACTATATCTCTGTTAAAATTATAACAACTATTTCCAAATTTGAATCTATAACTATAAATCAGTATATGCAAATTTTATGCAAACCAATTTGTTATTTGTTTTTGTGAGGTGCCTTCTTTTGGCACAGGTGGGAACTGATAAGTGGCCACCCTAAATGACCCAGGGAAAAACATACCACCTTGTAGCAACTACCACCCAAAAAGACCACTGTGTGGTGAAGTCAGTTTTCTTTGTGCTGGCATAATGGATGGAGAAAACAGCTGAATGACTAAGTGGAACAGAAGGAACACATGCACAAACTATGACTGCCATGGGGATAATCCGAGACACTTTGCCACCTCTGCTTCTCTTCAAATGGGTGCTGCTCTGGAGCCTTTTGATACTGGAGGAACAGCAGTAATGCTTCTTATTACTACTTATCACTACACAGGAATGCACACAACTGCTTCTTTGATCTGGCCATGATGGTTTTTTTTGTGTATGCTTTAAAGGCAGTTAAGGGTGGTATAGCTTAGGAATAAGTTTAGCAGACCACTTATTCAGTAGTATTTATTCTATATAACTTATTTAAAAATCTTGCTCTCCCATGAAGGGGCTCGGGGTGGCATTTTATCCTCACAACAACCTTGTTGTGCAGATGTTGACAGCTAGCAGCTGGCACAAGGTCATCCAGCAAGCTTCATGACTGAGGATTTTACGCCCAGTCCTGATACAGTTCTGTGACCTCAGGGGTCGGCAACTTGTGGCTCTCCATATGCTTAGTCCTAATTCCCACCATCCCTCCTTCATCGTTATTTGGGGTTCATGGAATTATGGTGGGCCACAAGTTGTACATTTCTGCTTTGGCTACTTTACCAACCTGGCTTTCACAGTGCTGGCAGCAGTAGGCTATTCTTTCCCATAGCCCCCATGTTACTTGCTGGACATCAGTGACTTCCTAGAAAAAAATTTAAACAATACAGACCATCTGGCAAATCCAGCCTGGCTGAGGTCTTAATGCAGCTGTCCAGGCTCCCCAAAATGGCCATTCTCCTGATTCCACCACCTTACTCCCAACTATCAATTGTTTGGTGCTTTTGCAGCTTTCGTGCTATTTTCCCTTATTCTTAAAGGTTGAAAAGCCTAATTGTTGGAGGTAAGTGCTTCAAGTTAAGATATGCCATGCCCATTGCTCTTGGTCACTGCCCACCACTAGCATGTAGTCCATGAGAGTTGACCTAAAATTAAATTTGGCCCTTGGACTGAAAGAAGCTCTCCACCCCAGTACAGTGACACCATCTTATGCCTGTCAAGTTAACTGCCTGTTTATCAGGCAGACTCTTTCCAGTTGTCAGATTTCAGTGGCCAGGGAAACTGTGCTCACTGCCTGTCCTCTCCCTTTTGACAGACAGTTTCCTACAACCAGCTGCCAAGCCCTCCAGATCATTTTATTATGTGAGGTGGTTATAAACTATTAATTTTACTGTTTTCATCTGTTTTGTTGATTGTATTTAGATGCTGTTTTCAGCATTTGTAAGCTGCCAACAGAACCTTCAGGTTATGGGGTGGCATAAAATTGGAAGGAAATAAATAAATTTCATTGCATTATTTCCCACTTTAAATTTTAGGTTAGGGGCTTGTCTAAAGGCAGGACTAGTCTCCAATCGAAAGCAACCTTTCAAACACAATTCAACCTTTTCTTTAGAGTGTGAAACTATCCAGAATAAAGTCAAATGTATTTTTAAAGGAAAGCCTAGAATCCTTCAACATTTTTCTTTTTTAAAGGCATTGCTAAATGTTAACCTCCAATGACCTCCAAAATGTTTTGCAATTAAATATGATAATTGTCCATTTCCTTGGGACTGCAAAAGCATTTGGAAGAGTACCGCTCTGAGTCCATCAGTCTAAGCCACCAATTGATATTCCATGTGAGAATATCTGCAAGGGAAGATCAGCCTTGCTTGAATTGGATACAAATGCCCACTTATGGTTCAAGTTTGATATTTTGTTCTGTCCTTATAGATTTCATCTCTCTCTTCCTTCCACATTCCTCTCCCTGTGTAGCTTGGCCTTTTAGTTTGTAAGTCTGATGACACAGTTTTTCCTCTCTCTCTCTCTCTCTCTCTCTCTCTCTCTCTCTCTCTCTCTCTCATTGATGTGAGTCACTTTGAAAGACAATCATTGCCTGAAAAGCAGGATAAACATGCATTTTAGAATGCAAATTTTATTCCTCCTTACCACTGTTTCCAGTTCCTTTGGAACCTGCCATATTTCTAATACAGACCATCCCTCCTCAAGATCTTTAAACTTCTATCACCTCCCTCTCTTGCTATCTATCTAAAATGATTTCCAGCTGCCTTTAAGGGTAGAACCATGATCTCTAATCAATCACACTATCATAATCTCTTCTCCAAAGCCCTCTTTTCAACACATTTCCATGCCCCCATCAACAAGCATTTTATCATCAGGCTTTGGCAGTGGTCCAAAAACGGCTGTTTTTCTATGAGTTGGAGCTAGAATTCATGCTAGAATCCTATACAAATTGCTCCAGGAGTATGTTCCTTTGAACTTAATGTGGCTTAGACATAGAGTTGCTCTATTCATGTTCTAGGAGCCAAAGCAGGGAGGTGTCATATACTATTTTCCTCCTGGCATATATCATTGGCAGATTCAGATTGCAATATTTTATTTGAATGTATTTGGCTAGCTAGAAGAATATTTCATCATTGTAGGGAGAACAATTCCAGGTCATGCATGTGCAAAGGCGACAGCTGAGATGCACATCAAACATATATTAACTGTTTGCCAATGCAAAAGAGGATAGTTGACACTATTGAAGCTAATTGCTGCCTCTAATTATTTGCAGATTATTACCGCTGCATGAAAATCATGAAAGCCAAAGGCAAGGATGTCGAGGCATGTAAATGGTACTTCAGGGTCTTCACATCCCTGTGTCCCATTTCTTGGGTGAGTAGAAGCATCACACTTGCAGGAGAAAACTCATAAAATCTGTGCCCTTCTTTTCAACAGCACCAATAAGGTTGCAAGAAATGAGGTACTAAAAAGGACACTTGTGTTTGCATTTCTTAAAAGCAAACAACCCCCCCCCACACACACACAAACACAATTTTTTGAATGTATCTTATATTTGGCACCTTGACACAAACATCCTGGAGAGGGGGGTGTTTTTGTTTTGTGGAAAACTAGCTACTTGCTGATGGAAAACAAGCATCTTAGAAAACGTTGCTGCAAAAATAGCAAACTATACCATTTTGCCCTAATCGTATCCATGTCCTGCTTTGGAAGATCTTGAACCTTGGCTGTTAATTGTGTTTCAATTGCCAATGAAACATGTGCATAGTCTGCACACTCTGCAGAGACCCACCAAACTTCTGAAGGGGGGCTACAGAGTTAACAGAAGTGATCTGCATAGCAGGCACTCAACCAATTCTGTTGCATAGGTTCACATGAGTGCACAGGTAAGCCTGTATGGTACCTCATGGCCATTGTGACACCAGAAACTATTCCAGGAGGCTGCTTCTCCCAGAGCTGGCTGGATTCCTTTCTCCCATGTGGGAGAATGCAGCACAGAAAGAGGAAAGGGGTAAGAAAAACAGGGAGCTGGATAATAATGTCATGGTGGGGGGCAATCCGGAGCCTCAGATCAGAATGGTTCTGTACCCCTGGCATAATGTACACAGGTAAGAGAATCCAGGTTTATTTTTAAATTTGCATTGTCCAGTCATACACACGCACGTACGCACGCACGCACATATGGGGAGAGAGAGAGTATTGTATATATATAATTTGAATCCAGACTTAGCCATGCATACAGCAAACCCATTGAAATCAGTGGGTTTGCTGTATGCATGGTTGCATGCATGGAAATATTTATATGGAAATATGCATGGAAATATTTAAGGTTCACTGATTTCAATATGTTTAATCTATGTGCAATTAAGTCTAGAATCAACCCACATACCTTAATGCAAAATATTCAGAACCCTTACCATAATATTTCTTCAAATCATGCCTGCATACATTTCTCCATGGCTAGGCCTAACATGAAGCAGGTCTAGTAGTGGACAATCTCAGAAAACTGAATTACATAGATTGTGATATTTTCACCATCAGTGCACATGTCTGTATGTGTATCACTTGATCTATTTTGTCTTGGGAGTCCCTCTCTTAACCTTCTTAAACCTCTTGCCTACTTTCCCTATCACAGATAAAGCGCTGGGATGAGCAGCGGGAAGCAGGAACCTTTCCTGGCAAGATATGAACTTCTAGCTCCTCTTTGCCTTATGAAGGAGATACACAACAGTTCCCACAACAGGTGTTCTTCTAGTGCATCCCAAATCTGTCAGTTAGACTGTTAGTTATCCCAGCAGATGTGATATTGAATTATTTCATTATCTTTGTGGATTTGCAAGAATGTAACAAAAACCACAATTAATATTTTAAAAACTGATTGGAAATATCATTCCCAATAAATTTGTTACTGAAAATTGAAGGTCATTTCCATCCTCCCACTACCCCCATGCCACAATTTTAACGCATGACTGTTTGGTTTTCCCATTTTCGTCCTTGTCAAGACTGTTTGTATTTCAAAAGCATGGAGTTCTCCCATTATATCTCACAGGCTTTTGACAACAACATCTGCTTCTGTACCTCTACTCCTTGGACACATGTACCAGGGAGAGTTGTTTAATTTCCATTGAAATCCATTTAAATAAGATCTCTTTTATTTATTTATTTATTATTTATTATAGCATTTTTATGCCGCCCCCGTCGCAGAAAGCCTTAGGGCAGCTTACAAAGCAGAATAAACAAACATAGAATAAACATTAAAAATCCGGAGCATCTCGGCAATAGCATAAAACCAATAAATAAAAACACCATTTAATAATTAAAATATTGTTTAAATAAAAAGGTCTTGGCCTGGCGCCGAAAAACAAATAATGATGGCGCCAGGCAGACCACTCTGGGGAGTGCATTCCATAGGTGGGGTGCCACCGCAGAGAAGGCCCTCCTCTGGGTACTCACCCTCCTAATATCCCTCACAGAGGGCTCCCGGAGAAGGGCCTCTGTCGCCGATCTCAGGGGGTGGGAGGGCATATATGGACGCAAGCGCTCCTTTAGATAACCAGGACCCAAGTCGTTGAAGGCTTTATAGGTGATAACCAGCACCTTGAATTGGGCCCGGACTTCAGTGAGGAGCCAGTGAAGCTGACGGAGAACTGGGGTTATATGAGAACAACGCCCAGTCCCCGTCAGCAGCCTGGCAGCTCTATTTTGCACCAATTGAAGTATCCGGACCGTCTTCAAGAGTAGCCCCACACAGAGCGCATTGCAGAAATCTAATCGGGAAGTTACCAACGCGTGTGTCACTG